TCTTCTTCCTTTGCCCAGCCTCTTCCACAGAGCCTTCCATTCTATCGAAGACTTCTCGCGCCCGGCTAATCGCTCGTGTGAGGTTTTTGACGATATTTTTTCCTCTATGGAGTTAGCTTTGGTCATACGAAATGTTAAGAAGCGATCCTCTCCGGGAGGGAAGGGGGGGTGACAGGATCGACAATCGGATGCTATCAATACTGCCGGAAGAGTATCTGGAGATTCTGCTAGGTATTCTCAATGACTTGCTTCAATCCGGTTCGTTCCCTGACTCGTGGCGCCATTCTTTGATGTTCATGATTCGCCCCATTGCTTTAATGTCTTATTTATTGAAAGTTTTGGAAAAGATGGTTTTGAATCCTTAGTTGGTGGGTAAAACCTTCGGGGATTCTTCCCACCTTCCAGTTTGGCTTTCGTAGGAGGTTTCATGCCTCGATAATCTGGGGATATTGCTGACGGGGATCCATTCGGGATCCATTTTTTAGTCGACAGTCCACGGCATACTTATTCTTAGATATACAGTGGGTATTCAATAATGTCGTGCCTGCCGTGCTGGTCTCACAGCTTGTAGAGCTGGGCGTCCCTGCGAAGATATCCTGGTTCATTTATCAATTGATAGGATGCAGGGTTTGTTGTCGACGGCAGTGTTTCGAGGGTCTTCCATTCACATAGGGATGTCTCTCAGGACTCTATTTTAGGCCCCCTCTTATTCAACATTTACCTGTCGCAGTGTGGATCTGTTCTGCGAGACGATTGCTCCATCATCATACAGTTCGCTGATGGCATCGCCCTCTACGCGAGGTCTAATAGACCGGAGAGTCATTGGAGCGTTCGATTGCGGCGTTGTCGGTTTTCTTGAGTTCTAGAGATTTGATTGTCTCTCCTGAGAAATCGGCCTGAATAACTTTTACCAAGAAGAGGCGGGACACGACAAATCGTTCTATTTATATTGGTGGCTCCCCGATTGGGTTGGTTTTATCATGCAGGTGGAACCGGGCCCAGGTTTAAGCTGATGGATTATTTGCACACAAGATCCTTGCTTAGTAAGTGTGGCAGGCTGGCCAGCGTTTTGAGGTTCCTGATGGATATCTGATGGAGTTCGCACCCAAGCATCTTGCTTTGCATATTCAAGGTTATGATTAGGGGATCAATAGACTACGCTTCATTCCTCTTTCTGATGAGTGGAAGGGGGGACCTTTTGGGCTTTGAGATATTGTGTCGGACTGAGACAGTCTTACCCAATTAACATTGTTTACGCGGAGACGGGGATCGGACCCGTAGGTCGTAAATCAGAGTTCCTTGCCAGAAGGTTTATGGTCAAGTCTTTCGCGACGAGGCTTATAACGTCCTCGTAAAAGGGCTTCATAAACTACACGCAATAATCTACTATAATCGGCTACTTCATTTCCATAGAAAATTCCCCTTATTATTTCTCCCCCACCTTGTCGGTGTCACAGATTAATAGACAGATTATAGACAGATTATACGTATAAAATAAAAAGATTTTAGCCTGAACTCGCACCAGAGGCAAAGTTTTTTGGTAAAATTAAAGGATTTTATTAGCCTGGACTCGAACCAGAGGCAAAGTGTGTCGGTAAGAGGCAAAAATGACGATCTCCTCTTTAGACAGGCCTTTGGCGATCCGTCTATTAATCTGTGTCGGTGTGGAGAAGATATAAGCTAAATGGCAGTTTCTTGCTTTTTTCGGATGAATGCATCACAATAATTTACGTTATGGATTTCATCTTGAAGAGAAATATAAGGAATGCTACGATATTGACAATTTCGAGGAATGTAGTGAAAGTTATCTCTAATCATGAAATAGATGGAGATCTTATATAACTATACTCAGTTACCATCCTGAAAAACAAGCTGAGATCGGCCTAGTTGCAGGGGAATCAGGTTGTACTGGGATTTGGGTCTCTGTTCACAGGGGCATTCTGGAAAATAAAACAGCAGATTTACATGCGAAGGGGGCGACTCGAAATGAAGAGCCCTCGGATTATCTCCCTCCGTATACTGATCTCCACATAAGCATAAAACTAAAATATCTAAAACCACAATCTACACTTCATTCCTCTCGACCAATAGAGCCAAACGCGATGTTATTGCGACAATTAAGAAAGAAAGAAAATTTGGAAACTAAGGAATTTGAATCCTATGGTTGGGATCTCAGAAATTCCCCTTGTTCCTTCTCTTAACATCCCCTGTAAAGAAATAGGCGAGAAAAATATTGGTCCGAAAGTCGGCTGAATCGGGAATCGAACCCGAGAAAATATCTAAAGTCAACAAAGAAATTCTTGCTCAAACGCACCAGTTGCAATGGGAGAAGATATTTTGATCTTTACCCACCCTTCATTGTGTGCCCATAGTTTGGGGAGATGAACCTTGGTTGCCGGAAAATCGTAACAGCCTGCCGCATTCGTTCTGATCATTACAATTTGAATTACAGCCTACACGGATGCGACATCGTCTCAAGGAGAACAGAAAAGTCAAAATGATGTCAATTTGATGTCATATTGACTAAATTTATGTCATTTTTGGTCAATATTTAGTCAATATGACGTCAAATTGACATCATTTTGACCTTCTGTTCTCCTTGGGGTTAGCTCCCCCTGCTGTGATTGTGGCACATCCCACTTAGACATTGATCATATCTTGTGGTATTATCCGCTCCTGAACTCTCATCGTCGGGGTCTCTTAAATTTCCTTCAAAGAGACTCGGACATGCCTCCGCCCTATGAGATTTCTTTTTTGCTCTGCTCTCAGTATCCGAGGATTTTAGTTCCAATTGTTATGTTCCTACAAAAATGCAAAATCAACATCTAACCCCCCCCCCTTGATTTGGACTGATGAGACAACGCACATACGTGGGAATGGTCTGTATAAAACTTCGAGGATCATCTGGCAGCATGAGAATTACATGAGTTTAGCCCAGTGCTAATACGGGAAGAAGAAGAAGCGTGAGGTCTCCAACATCAATTCGGAGTCTAGCCGGACCTCCTACCTTTAATTTAAAGAGAAATTCAATCTGTCTGAATAGAAAATATAGCGTTCTGATTTCGGATGTTCTCCAGTAATATGCTTATATAAAAATCGGCCGTCTTCCATATAATTGAATTTTATATGTATATAATTCTTCTATTCTGTAATTGGCATGCTACAGATAATTCAAGATATTCAGACTTAAGAAAATTTTCAGAAAAACTTTCCTTTCTGAGCTAAAAATGTTTTTGCATAGAAAGTCAATTGAACTGATTAACCAAAAGAAAGTGTACACACGAATATAGATATTTTAATTCTTTCTTTATTTTTAAAGAAAAAGACAAAAACTTGACTCGACTTGAACTTGCGTCCGAATTTGATATACATGAAATTTCAATATTTTTAAACACCATATCTATTATATATAACACTATATGTATATATATATATATATATATATATATATATATATATGTGTGTGTGGTGTGTGTGTATGTATGTGTGTATATGTATGTGTGTGTATGTATATGAATATATAATGATAATATCATAAGATGAATATATATATTCAGGGTGTTTCCGTGTTAATTAGCTATTAAAATACGAATTTAGGACCTCAAAACAAATAAATATTTTATCTGCATGTTTGTTTGCAAATGCTTCCTTGAAAAGATATTGACTTTTGAAATTTTGAACTATAGCAATGAATAATATAGAAATAATTTAGATTTATCCTCTTTATTGCTTTACAGTAACAAGTCAATTTAATGTAATTATTAAATATTTTGTTCAAAATAATGATCTTCAGTGCAGAGATAGTATTGCACCTCTCAATAACAAAACAAATAGCTGACTGATAGGTGTAATGCTTGTCTCTGCACTGGAGGTCATCATTTTGACCAAAATATTTAATAATTACATTAAATTGATTACTGTAAAGCAATAAAGAGGATAAATCTAAATTATTTCGATATTTTTCATTCCTATAGTTCAAAATTTCAAAAGTCAATGTCTCTTCAAGAAAGTATTTGCGAGTAAACTTCCAGATAAAATATTTATTTGTTTTGAGGTCCTAAATTTGTATTTTAAGTTTAGCTATTTAACCCGGAAACACCTTGTATATGTTTATATTAAAGGTTACATTAATAAATTATTTAATTAATTTAATTATCAATAATCAAAATTCTTGATGTCGTCAGTCAATAATTAAAGGGATAAATAATTTTTAAGATAAAATTTAATTTCTTGCTCACATATAATTATGGCGCATCACTATGAATAATTACTTCTTTGTATAATAGTACACTTGAGAAGGACCAAAACCCATAGTCGAAACATTGTAGTTTATTAAATATTAATTCACCAGTATTCGAAATTCAGGTCGAAAACATTATTTATTCCTTTAATTTAATTATATTTAAAGTGATATATTTTTACAAATTTCTGTTTTGTAAAAATGTGGAATATCAACTTTGAAAGTTATATTTTATATTTATTATATACGAAAGTATATACTTTTATACATACTAACACTTAGAATTTGTATGTATACCTATATGATAAACATAATAGCGCAATCTTTAACAGTAGTGCACAAGTTCAAACGGTAAATAAAATACAGATTACTTTCTTCGAAAAAAATTAAATGCGAAATATTTTCTAAATTGGATAAATCTCTATAAATATAGAGAAAATATCTTACAAAATATAGCCGCCCATCAATTACAATTTATATAAATGGTATTGGAAAAACGTTTATATATATATCAAATAACTAATGCAAAACTATAGGAAAATATATAGCATATAAAAATGTTAAATGAGATAGTAAAATACTATCAGTCTATTGTTATTTTAATTAGATTCTAGAAAGTTGATATAGAACCAAGAATAGATGTCGAATAATCATGTTAATATTTTATAAAAAAGCAGGAAGCATAATTATCTTATTTTACCTTAATTAGCTTAAAAATCCGTCGAGTGTAAAATACTAAAATAATTTAAATAACAATCAATATTGATACACTATAGAATTTCTTTTTATAAGATGCAAACTAGTTATAATTGTGTGAACTGAAAGACTTTGGCCTTCATTTTTTTTTATCTATCGCTTCCAAACGCTGGATAGTAGGCGGATGCGAATGATGCCAGCTGGAATACAATTTATCATACAAAGGATATCCTAAATTGTCCTTTTGTAGTTTTAACAGAGCCGCTTTCAAAGCCTCGCCGTGACCTAATTTTGTAGCGAATTCGTCTGCTTGAAATTCAAATCTTCGACCGATTACTACGCTAACGAAATTAAAGATCTGAAAAAAATTATGAAAGAGGATTTAAATATTATTTCATTAAATTCATTCAATACGCAATGAAAAAATAACAATTTAAAAAATTTTTTGAATACTTACTATATTCAATGGTATCAAAATATACATTATTACTATAACTAGACCAATAAATATGGGCTGGGAATCCATAAAACCAAAAGCGTTATACATTGGCGTATAGCTTAGGAGTTTTGCGAACATAACAAAGTTGGCTACAAAGATCATCTAAAAGAAAAAATATATATATGTATATATATAATACAAAGTATTTTATTTTAGGAGTTTTGGAAATAATCGACTAATAATCGTTTTTATTAAGTCTCACAGTGAAACGATTATTACTTGCTACTTTGGTCGATTATTTCCAAAACTTCTATTTAAATACTAGTGACTGTCATTAATAATTGGGAATTTATTTTATTTTAATTAATATAGTCAAATTACTAAAACTGTGGCTGCAATGAGAAAATATTTCATACAAAAGTTAAAAGATTTCGAGAAGGAAAATGATAATCTTGAATTTTAAGGTTTCTAGCGCTTGACTGATCATGTTGAAACTGTAACTTCAGAGGCAAGAAAACACAAACGCTAAAAATTGTTAGATACTATTTTGAAATGAAAATTTGATGAAACAACACTTCAGATAGCTTTAACACACTCGTAATGTACCTCGAAAACTATCCTTTTCCCTTTATAATCAATCAATCATATAAAATGATTGTAATAGTCTAGTCTTTGTCACATGTGCAATCATTCCACATAACAGAGTCTATCACGATTATTTTACGGTCGTTGATGTAAAAGGAAAAGAAGTTTTCCAGATATTTTAAAAATATGCTAGTCTTCTGAAATAGTGTTTCATCGAAATATCTTTTCATTTAAAAATGGTATCTAGAAATTTTTAGCATGTACTTTCTCATCTGTGACGCCACACTCTAACATTGTCACAGCGAGAATCCAGAAGGCTCAATTAAAATCATTTGTGAAGATCATTTAAAGGTAAACCTAGGTTTTTAAAATGGAACTACAATGTCTCACACATTTGACATAAAAGTTGTAAGAATAAAATAGTCAAAAGATAAATTAGTTTATGAAATATTTTGTACTGACGTCATTTTACAGAAATTATAAAATATCTCGTAAAAAAAAAAAAAAAAAAAAATTCATTTTTCGATGATCTTACCTCAATACTTTTATACACAAAATAACGAGAACAGGCAATTGGTATAAAAAAACATATACATATGTAGTTATTTTTAAGAAATAGCATATATAAAATTTGCAATTAACACTTGCATATAAATTATAAGTAATTTTATATATATATATATATATATATATATATACATATACATATACATATACATATACATATACACATTACAATATTATTTACCTGACCAAGCAGAAATCCTTTTAGAGTATGATTATGTTTCCAATGACCCAATTCATGTGCAAGCACTGCTAATATCTCGTTTGTTTCACAGCCATAATCTTTGTCAGAATCACCATCATCTTTTTTGCAATAACCTTTAATGAGAGTGTCGAAAAGAACAATTCTTTTATGTTTGTGAAAACCATACAGATAAGCGTTGCTGTGTGACGATCTCTTGGAACCTTCAACTATAAACAGCTTGTACAAGGGAAACTTTAAAGAAGCCGCCAATTCTTCAATCTTTTGTTTTAGTTCGCCATCGGGTAATGGTGAATATTTGTCAAACAATGGCGCTATTATTTCTGGATACAGGATCATCATAAATAACGAAACCACCATCGATAATATCCATAAATACCAAAAGAAATAATCACCACCATTTTTCACAATCCAAATCATACCGCACAAAATGGGTAATGCAATAATGTGCGATACAATGAATTTTTTAATCTCATCTTTAATAAAAAATGCAGTTGTCTGAAAACAAACATTAACATCTACTTAATTAAACAAATCTCGTTTTAATCAAATCATATATTTAAGAAAAAAGAGCTCTAATTACAAAATATATTATGTAAACAATTTTACCTGTTTATTGAAACCATGTTTTTCTTCCAAAACAAAAGTATCATATATCACTAATGGAAGATTAATCATGTGAGAAACAACATTTACAATAAACATACATATTGCGCTTAGCAGTATGTCATTCTCATGATTAATGCCGCAGTACTTAGCTATTTCAATACTCCATTGCCAAGCATAATAATAACCATAAGTTACTAGAATTATCTGCAAAATCAGTCTTTTTATTATATAAGATAAAAATTAACAAAATTTTACTTGATTATAATCAAGAACACATTTAATTTATCAAAATATTTTTTTAAGTAATTCTCACTGTATTGAAAATCTTAGAAAACAGGTCTTGTACAATACGAAAGCTATTTCTATCTAATGCATATGCACGAGCCTTCTCATATACATCTTTAGCCATTAATCCCTCGACAGATTTTGGTAACTCAACCAACTGCAGCATTAATTTCCTCTGAAACATTTAAAAAATTTTATACATAAAAAAGATTAACTTTAATTATATAATCTTTTTAATTTGTATACAATCTTTTGTATAATAATTATGAACATATGTAGAATTAAAAATGAAAAAATACCTCACAAACGTAATAATTTAAAAAAATATTAAACTCCAATAAAACTATAATAATATTAATTCTAATAGAGAGAGAGAGAGAGAGAGAGAGAATAATATCATATTAATTCTAATTAATTATATACAAATTAAATGCGTAATATTTTACGCAAACATTTATTCGGCTATAGTAATTAATCAAATTCATCATTAGAAAAAAATCGCAAAAAGGTTAGAATATAGAAACTAATGCAATTACCTGACGCAAATTTAAATAATGATCCCAAAAATACAATAGCCATATCGTCAATAAAATTGCGCCGAGAATATGCTTCTCTATAAAATTTACAAATATCTCCATTCTCAGCAATATATGTATTCTTCTTAATCGTTTTTGACCCAGTCACAGATACGACTTTCGGCCATCAACTAGAATCAATATATGTATTAACAAAATATCATTCTACTGACATATCAAGAATCGAATACTGTTCGCATGGAACGAGAGATAACAGATAAAGAAAATTGATGATGTGTATATAACATGTGGTTTTCAAGATGCAAGATTCTAAACCTGATTGGCGCATTTTAGGTTGGGTCAATAAATTCTAACCAATTAAATGTGATGACGTATAAAGAGAATCAAACATAATAAATTGTTTTAGTTTTAGGCCCTTTTTTCTTCTTCTTCTTTTTTATTAAGGCTACGTGGGCTTCCTAGGAATTTGATTTTTTTTAGAATCGGATCATATTTATTTTATTAACAGATGTACACAATATGTCCAAATTCATTTGAAATAGAAAATGCAAAATAGTTGGAATTTTTAAATATATTTCCCTTGTTATTTCGAGTATTAAAATACTGATATACAGTAATTTAAGTACTCGAAATAAGTATTAAATTGGCGTTACTAATGATAAATTTCTATAAAGGTTAAAAATGCAAAATGTTTTTTAGATATCTATATTTAAAATGGGAAATGGAAAATAGGCATTTTAAAAATGTTTTTTTATCAAAATAATTTTTTTAAATATTCTATTTTTATATTTATTTTTTCAATATTTACATTTTATAATTAAATTCTTATTTTCTATTATTTATATTTTCTATTATTTCTTATACTTAAAAATTCTTTTTTTTATTTGTTATAAAATTGAAATACAAAAATAATTTAATTACTAAACATTTACATTAATAGCATATATGTATATAAGATTCTAAAAAATGTTCGCTTATATTGTTTACAGACATTCAGTTTACTTATAAAACATTTTTTTTAATGAGACAAAATTTCTCATCTTTCTTCTACAAAGATATAATTAGAATAAATGATTCCAGAATGAGAATGTGATAGTATCAGTGACACATATATATCATTAATATCTCTATTAATTTTTGTAAGTATAGTTTGTAAGAAAAATGCATTTGAAAATAAGAAAAAAGAAAATAAGAAATAAAAACCATTTAAAAGAAAATATAAGATAGTTTTTGAAAAAATTTATTTTAAATGTAAAATAAAAAATAATTTTACATTTTGTATTTTTATTTTAAATGTAATTTCTATTTCAAATAATGCACGTCCAATAACGCATTAATCATGATTATATGTAAAAAGGATAATCGCGCGTGAGACCCAAAGAAAGTATATTTAATCATATAAATATAGACATATGTATGTGTGTACATACATATAATTAGTTTATATATATATATATATATATATATATATATATATATATATATATATATACATATATGTATATATAATTTGAAAAATATTTATATGTATATTTTTTTTTAAGTCGTTAAATTTCTTACAATTAGCAGTAAAAGTAACAAAACAGAGAATAGGATTTTATTTTATATTTCAAAACCTTTCGTATAAAACATTTATCTTTATTTCATCTTTTTACTCTTAATTTTTCTCATATAAAATTCAAGTTATCTTTATATCTTCTAGAATATATATCCATCAGTTCTGCTCATCACATTGACTAGGTCTGCTTGATAATTTAAGCTAAAAATGAAGTAAATTACATTTAAATCACATTATCATCATATTCAAAATAATTTCAACTAATTTCACTATTTCAAAATAAATATTTCCTAACTTATAAACTATCTTTTTGACAAGTGTTTAATGAAAATATTAATTGGGTTAAAAAGACATATTGACAAATATTAATTTTTAATCATAAAAAAGAAACATTATAAGTAAGAATCTTAATTACTTATGATGTTTCTTTTTTATGATTAAAAATTAATATTTGTCAATATATGTCTTTTTTACTCAATTAATAATTTTCATTAAACACTTGTCAAAAAAGATTGTTTATAAGTTATGAAATATTTATTTTGAAATAGTGAAATTAGTTGAAATTATTTTGAATATGATGATGTGATTTAAATGTAATTTACTTCATTTTTAGCTTGAATTATCAAGCAGACCTAGTCAATGTGATGAGCAGAACTGATGGATATATATTCTAGAATATATAAAGATAATTTAAATTTTATATGAGAAAAATTAAGAGTAAAAAGATAAAATAAAGATAAATGTTTTATATGAAAGATTTTGAAATATAAAATAAAATCCTATTCTCTGTTTTGTTACTTTTACTGTTAATTGTAAGAAATTTAACGACTTAAAAAAAAAAATATACATATAGATATTTTTCAAATTATATATACATATATGTATATGTATATACAAATGAACATATGTTTATTAAATAAATAAGATATTTATCCCAAGGACACATTCCGTTGCAAATTGTTCTAAAGCAATTCCACCTGGCAAATTTGCCTTGTATTTTGCTTGTTTTCTTGAAACTTTTTTGTGCAATACTTCTTCTTCAGCTTCTGTCTACAAAAACATTATAATTATGTGCATTTCATACATTTAATGTAACAATTTAAATTCCATAAATTTAAGTTGTTATATTTTAGTTATAGTTTAGTATTTACCAGTAGAACCCCAGTGGAAACACATGACTTTTATACCACTGTCTAAATGATGTTGCATCAATGATGACATTTTTCACCAGAGTTTTAATTTGTACTTGTTTCATGCATTGTAAACAACATCAATGATACAAGCTTTTCTAGTACTGCACTCTGAGCTCCAAGAAAAGTTTCCCGTATTCAATCTAAGAGCTTTATACTTCTTACTGCCTCCATGTTACGAACCTTATACACATATAAAACAGCAAACATGTTAAGTAAATTTAAACCATCAAATATGTTAAAAACATTTAAAATTTAAATCAGAGAGCTGTAGGATTATGGTCAATCATAGCACTCAGAATAGGTAAGGAAGTCATCATTTTGCGTTAATAAATTAAACATTAAAAAATATTATTTTATAGAAATAATTATAATAATTTAAATATTCAAAATAAAAACTTTTGTACTCGGCTCGAATTATTGTTACAATAAAAATGAAATATCGACGGCAATCGGAGCCTGTGCGGATGCCATGCACAAAATTAATAAATAGAAATGAGATTTAATTTAAATATTCCTAATGTAATATAATGCTAATAATATAATCTCTGCAAACTTCAATTTTATTTATTGCAATATTAATACTAATGATTTTTTATAATCAGTATTTGACTCATTTATTTTTACAATTTATTTCATGTAAGTTCAGCAGTAATAAGCTTACAGCAAAGAGAAGTCTTCTTCTTCTTAATCTTTTTTTGACCCAGTCAGGGAGATGACTTTTGGCCATCAGCGGGTAATTGATATTTAAAAACAGAATTGATAACGGAACACGATCAGCGGGTTATATTTTGTAATGATAAGCGGGGAGCACACACTTTTGCATGCTCCCCGCTATATTAGGACCAAAACAAAACACAAAGGAAAAAATTTTTCAGACGAAACACGTCTGAACGCGTTAAAGGACGCCAACGAACTCAAGAGAAGTCTTCTCTCTGTTTGAACTCGCTGTGATCCAAGTTTGGTATTTGCAGCTGAACGTCCTAATTCAATTCTTTTCTTACAATCTTACGAATGAGCTTCTACTTGATAGCTAGAAAGCGGCCATAAGCGGAAAGCACACACTTTTGCATAAGCGCATAAGCGTAAACATGAGAATCTTGATTGGTCTATAAACGTATGCATAAGAAATTCAACCAATCGAATTTCTTATACATATGCTTATGCGCTTATGCAAGAGTGTGTTGTCACGTCCAAGTGACCTTCTTTCCTCCTCTGTTACTCTAGGTCTAGGAAGAAAGGGTTAGCTTTCTATTTATTTAGGGCAATCTGCATGCACCGACTATACCCTGGGTGCGCCGAGAGCTGGAACTGACTTTTCGGATCTGGGGAATTTTAGGAATAGGGAATGTTTCATAGGAGTATATAATATCGTCTAGGAAAATTAATATTAGTTCAAAATCGTATTTTCTATTTAGGATATAAGATATGAAATTAAAATATATTATTAATAAAATAAAATAATAGTCTATTATCAAGGATTTGAACATTTAGAATAATCGGTAAATAATCGCGAGTTGAGATTATTAAAGATTTAGATACGTCGGATAGTAGTCGATTTCAAAGGGAGGTTCTAGTGGTCCTGAGCTTACTAATTCTGGTAAAGAGACAGCAGGAAAATTATATTCCTCGAAAGGTGAAAAATCTTGATAGGTATTCTTAGACAATTCTATTAATTCGTTGATTATATTATCTCCGGATAATCTCTCTTGAGAATTTGAGAAAGTAGTCGCGATTGATCTATATTTCCTAATTACTGAAGGGCGTGTACGCTTCTTACGTACAAGGTTGCGTTTCCGGTTGTCCATTTACAAGGATATGTTCATCCTTATAATATTAATTAATTAGTTATTAGGAGATTATAAAATTAGATTAAGGATTAAAAAAGATTAGTTCTTACTTGATTTCGCACGGAGATGAAGATCTGCTCTGTTGTTCCTGGTGACTATGCCTAGGTTGTAGTTCTCCTGGGGACCTCGGTCCCAGGATGGAGTTGGAAGAATAGACGTGCACTGATTTTATATTAATCTTATTCTTTATTCCTTTATTTATGAACAATTTCTAAGTCTGTGACTTATAATCGTACAATTTGGAGTTACAAATTTAATCTATCAGATGAGTTAACTAGAATGATAACTAACATATAAGAAATCGCAGAAAAATCTAAGTACTAATTGACACGAAAACTAGATTAACCGTAATCGGCTAAGTGTAGAATTTAGAAAATAGTAATACGAAATACTCTATTCTAGAAGTTGACACGAAGTGCCCGCAGGACGCAAAATCCGCGATTTATATACCCTTCGGAGGACCAGGCGCGCTTAGATTTTGACATGTTTATGGTTCTGTAGGAATTCGGTTTGCGTCATCGAAGAGAGGGCGAAGGGTGGTTCATCAGCTAAGATGGTTCGTTGGCGCAGTATAATTGTGATTCTTAATAGACGAATGGGAATTTTTACAATAGTTTCCGAATTGCTTATTTATAAAACGTTAATATTTATCATTATAATTTGTACTAAAGGGTTAAATTGCGTGCCCTAGAAGCCATTACAAAATGTGCAGGAGATTGTAATTCCTTAAATATTCATTATGATAATAATTGAGATATTTTATTGTTAAAAAGTGTGCAACGTTATTCTGTAAAGGATTCAAGGGCTAGCTTTTGATAGTTTAAGTTGTAGCTTATAATGATAAAGATAATATTTTGGTTTCTAAATCTTTGCTTCGGAGTAGGGCGTTGGTTTCTTTCCTAAAGCTCAGGAATGCGGCAGAGGGGTCATACGGGGTCAAGTTACAAGTTATCGTGTCGCCAAATCGATCTCTACGAATACTTATGTCTAGCGGTACATTTATTACTCCTTGTTTGGTCCTTTTACGTATATTGATCAATCAATTATGGCATCCTTCAATTATGATATTGATAGTTAATTATGGCATACTTTATTAATAATATTTAATATTTATAGTTAATAAAAAGGTCTATAATTATTTATGGATCCATAATTCATTAATGCAGTATTGAAAGGTTTACATATTCAAATGTGTACTCGGGTAATTCTTAGTCGCACTTACAGAATCGTGTTTCGTTTCAGGTATGAATTCTGAAAAAATTAGTGTTTCTTTTTTAGTTATCATATAAATTTGATGTAATTAGGATTCTGTAAATCTGACTAAAGAAGGTTGTTTCGGAATGAATAATATATCACGTTGTATTGTAATTTACTTTAAGAGAGAGTGGATTAACATTCTTAGTCCTTATCTCTTGTGCTTGATTATATTAATATTTATCGTACTTATTATTTATAGTTTGGCGTTATTGTAATAAGTGTATCGATAAGTGCTCCTGTAAAGGAATATCTGGTTAGTTCCGCTAGTTACATGCCGTCTCTGGGGTCCCTAGATGGTGCCTGATTGGTCGCGTGGTTAGGACTAGATAGAGATGTTTGGTTCCTAGGTAGAGGACCCCAGATCTGGCGATTTTATCTATTAATACTAAAATAGTCAGATTAGAGCAATTAGTAAAATATAATGATTGTTAATAGTCTTATTTCTACGAGAATATGAATAGCGCGCAATAGTTATATTGAAAAATAAAAATTTTTAAATAGACGGGACGTCACAGTATGCTTCCCGCTTAATAATCTTGATTGGTCTATAAACATATGCACAAGAAATTCAACCAATCGAATTTCTTATGCATATGCTTATGCGCTTATGCAAAAGTGTGTGCTCCCCGCTTAGAACATATAGATGGAAGGGGAATAGGAGCGCAAAACTGTGTCCAAGTTGGGTGCGAGAGAGAACCACGTTTTTAAGGAAAGAGAAGAGTAGATCGTTACCTCCGTTCGCAATGCGCAAACGCGAATTAGCGAAAGCACCAATTACATTTCCAGTTTCAAACGGCGCGGTAAGCGTGACGTCACCGTGACGTCATCTACGTTTGCGCATTGCGAGCATAGGTTAAAAGCTATCTTTCTCTCTCGCACCCAACTTGGACACAGATTTTTACCATGGAGAACAATAGCAATTCCCCTTCCAGGTATATATGTTCTAAGGCTCCCCGCTATACCTTCTCTGTTCACAATCAGGTAGAGTCCACAGACAAATAATATAGACGAGTATAGAAGCATGGTTCTCGGTACCCCGCGAGTCGCACGAACTGGGGTACTTTGTTATAGTTTACGTCACGTATACTGTACTATCTATAGCACTTCAGTACAGTATATGTGACGTAAACTATAGCAAAGTACCCCGCTCGTGCGACCTGCGGAGTACCGAGAACCGTGCTTCTATGATTATGTTTTCACCGAGAGTTCGAATCGGGTCAGAGTCCAAGAGGTCGATTGTGTATCTTGGGTGAATTTGCTCACGAGATGAAAATTACAAAAGTGAAAAGATTTACTAGATATCGACAAATGAAATCGTGGGCACTCTAGTAAATTTCCTCACGTTTGTAATTTTCACCTCGTGAGCAATTCACTCAAGATACACAATCTACCCTCTGGGTACCTATTACGGTTATTTGGGTGAGTTATGTATTTGGGTGGGTTTGCTCACGAGATAAAAACCACAAAAATGAGAGATTCACTAGATTTTGACCAATAGAAGCGTAAACAACCTAGTGAATCTCTCACTTTTGTGATTTTTACCTTGTGAGCAAACTCACTCAAAGAACCGTAATAAGTACCCTGGAGATCGATTGTCTACTTGTGTCGATTTTTTTCACTTTTCGCACATTCATTTCACGTGAAGAAATACACGCGATTGGCTATGAGCAAGGTGAAAATACGATATCCCTAGATTCACGGGAGCACAAACCATAGTGAACATTCCGTAAAGCGTATATGCATGCATATATGTTTCAGTGATATCTTTATCTTTATAATCTCTGCAGTTTGAACGGTGTGAATAAGAATGAAAATTACAGAGAAACAAAAAAAAAATTATATTAAATTTTATGAATAAACTGAATTTTATGAATAAACAAAATTCGGATTTTGGTCGGGGGCGGATAAGATATAATAATAAAAATAAGCGAAAAATGCAAAAAAAATAAAATATAAAATATATAAAAATTACATTAAAGATATATGAAATTATATCATAACAAGTAAAGAGATTATAATTTAAAATATAAATAAATATTCAATGTGTATATATATATATATATATGCAAATTATAATTTAACATATACTGCAAATGAAATTTATAATAAAAATTTATTTATACCTGTATAGTTTGACAAATGTAGTCTCTGATGTATCAAACGGATCTAAAGTATTTCTTAATAACCTCTTTATAATATTTTGATATTTTATTTGTTGTCTTTTATTATCATTATCGTCGTTTTCTATTATCATAGCAATAAAATAATCTTACATACGTAACTTTCTTGAGGTATGTGTGATATAGAGGATATTAAACAACATACGCACAATTTTGACGTTATTCGACACAGAATATCTTGCCGAACAGTTTCATGTAAGTTAGTTCGTATTTTCACTATGATGAAAGTTACCCAATCAAGCGAGAGCTCACTTTTGTCATTTTCACCATACTTTAAAATATACAATCGATCCTCAGGGGGTCGATTGTGTAACTTTTTCTAAAGTAAAAACGTGAAAAGTGAAAAATTTCCACCAATCACGCATTGATTTTAAAATGAAATCGATGTGTGATTGGACAAAATTTTTCACTTTTCACATTTTTACTTTAGAAAAAATTACACAATCGACCCCCTGGCCGGGCCGCCTGCCGACCCTTAAGGGTGCGATTACATGGACGCGCGGAAACGCGGAAACGCGGAAGAGAAAGTAACTAAACTTTACTAGAGTCCCGCATTTCCGCGCGTTCCGTTCCGTCTGTTTTGATTGCCTTATATTACATGGAGCACATTTTGAGCGGAAAAGCGGAACGGGGAATTATAAAATATTAATATTTAACTATATTTATTGATTAAAATGCTTGTATTCAATAGATAAGTTGAAAAGATGAACATATTAAAAGGAATTACAATGAATTAAGTAAATATAAATTTAAAAAATTAATACAAATGTCTATTTGTCACTATACCGTTCCGCTTTTCCGCTCAAAATGTGCTCCATGTAATATAAGGCAATCAAAACAGACGGAACGGAACGCGCGGAAATGCGGGACTCTAGTAAAGTTTAGTTACTTTTTCTTCCGCGTTTCCGCGTTTCCGCGTTTCCGCGCGTCCATGTAATCGCACCCTAAGGGTCGACAGGCGACATGGTGGAGACGCCTATCGGCCGGCCAGGAATTACAGATTCTTATTTTCCAGATATTAGCCAAAATATTGAATGAATCTTATTAAATTTAGGATATTCTTAATCAGTAAGCTCATTTGTAGTCCTCTAAAGAGCTATTTTATGAAAAAAAGATAAAAATAAAAATTTTTAATAAACTTGGGGGAATGCGCAGCTAGGAACGGGTAAAGTTGGGTTAGCCGCGAGTCCGTATTTTATTTATTATAAATTTTTAAGAGCAAAAATGTAATATCCGGCCTTTTAGAGGACTGCTTTATTATATAAAGAATATATTAAAAAAAAATTCACGAAGTTATGTCACTTATTTTATGAAATATCTGGACGATAAGATTCTCATTAGATTCATAAGGAGCAGGGGAAATTTCTGTGGTAACATACTGACTGCTTGACAAGGAGAGAGCATCATTTCATCTTTGTCTCTCTTACATCGCATATGTAGTAGCGTCCATGTAGGTACAAACACTAATACGTGAGCACACGGATGTAAATATTGAGAGATAATGTCAGCAAAAAGGCTAACATATTATTTTTATTTTTTTGTATATGTATGTGTAATGTATCGATAGGTAGGTCGACAAGGTGATCGACGTTGTTGTTATCCTACACCTCGAATAACCAGTATAAGGCAGTTGCCGCTGAGCTGTCACCAAAACAAGTCGATGTATCGGCGTGTAACGGTGTATAGTCTTACCCCGCCACCTCAAGACATAACAATTTTGGCGACGAGGAAAAATAGTGAACGCATAGTGCAAGCTAATAAGAAAAAGAGTGCAAATAACCGAGGGAAAGTGCGTTGTCTAATAAATGCCGACATCGTGGATTTATAAACTATCGAAATCACAATTAATTGAGAAGCTCCAGCAGGCAGCTTCAGTAGACGGCGATTTAGTTTTCAAGGAAAACGATAGTATAGATACGTTGCGAAGAGTATTGGCACGGCACGTACGAGATCAAGGTGGCGCAAAGGTGACGGCGAACGGTAGAGAGAGTGACAACACAGAGAAGCATTCCAAAGGGAAGGCAACTCACACAATGGCAAACGATAATAACTCAAAATTGGAATTTCACTTGGGCAAGGACGATTGGGAAACGTATACCGAACGCTTAGAATTGTATTTCTTGGCGAACGACGTGGAAAACGCTAAGAAGGTGCCAGTGTTATTAACTAAAATAAGTGCGGAAGCATATAAATTGATAAGAGATCTGTGTGCACCAGATAAGCCTATAACAAAAACGTATGAGCAGTTAATAAAGTTGACGTCAAACCATTTATGCCCGAAACCATCGGAAGCGATGGAACGATGTAAGTTCCACCAAGCGCAACAAGCGGCGACTGAATCAATCGCAGAATTCGCGGCGAGACTAAAAAGATTGTCAATAAACTGTGGATTCAAAGATGCGGCAACAGCTCTACGAGATCAACTGGTATGTGGAATAAAAGACCATGCTACAAAGATACTGTTGTTTCGAGAAGAAGGCTTAACATACGACAAGGCGTATAAAATAGCAACGGCAGCGGAGGAAGCCGAGAGGAATGCCACGTCCACGGATAAACTTAATACAGCTACGGCAGCGCAAACAAATGTTAATACGATTTACACAGTTGCCAAACCGAATCGGAATTACGGGAAGCTGCGAAATAATTATCGTGGTAAACAAGGTCACGGAAAGGCAAAACACGCGAATGGAAACACAGGCCCATCGTCACAAAGCTCAACAAGCAGCAGAAATTGTTACTGCCGTGGAAAGGCGAACCACTGGGCGCGGGACTGTTTCCATCGCCATAAAACGTGTACAAGCTGCAATAAGAAGGGTCATTTAGCCACGCAGTGCCGAAGAAAGAAGGAAGACGTCCAACATGTTGACGTAGGAGCAGAGAAGGACGAAGGGACATACGACTTTCTTAACCTCGAGCTAGGAGAGAACAGCGAGGAATCAACATGCGGTACCATAGAATCAAGCGGGGACAAGGTCATAGCGGAACCTATGTATGTAAACGTCGCGATAAACGGAAAAAGCGTAAATATGGAGATCAATACGGGTACGTACGCGTCGATAATATCGAGGGAAAATAAAAATAAATTACTTCCGACACTAGAGATGAAAAAGTTAAGTAAAACGTTGAATGCATACGGTCAAACACTTTTAAGTCACGAAGGAATATTACAGGATCTTGTCGTGAAGTTAGGCAAAAAAGAAGTTAAAGCAAATATGATAGTAATGTCGCGAGCGGGGCCGACGCTAATAGGCAGGCAATGGTTAAAACTCCTCGGGTTATGGCCGCTAGCGATTAAGAGCGAGTTAGTTAGCGAAAGAGTAATACATAAGATGGATGTAGCGAACGTAAGAAATGAGTTTGTAAGGCAGCATCCCACGTTGTTTGGTCCGGGACTCGGAGTATATAATAAAGGTATGCTGAAATTAGTATTAAAAGAAGGTGCGAAGCCGGTAGCATTGAAAGCACGGAGATTACCATTCGCGCTAAATGAAAAAGTCGAAACAGAAATTAATAGATTAGTTCAACTAGGGCATCTGGAGAAAATTGAAGTTAGCGAATGGGCAACTCCTATAGTGCCGGTAATAAAAAATGACGGATCGGTCAGGATCTGCGGAAACTTTAAATTAACAATAAATCCATGGCTGATTATAGATCGCCATCCTTTGCCGTTAATAGATGAGATTTTCGCCGCGGTAAGAAATGGAAAAACGTATTCGCAAATAGACTTGACACACGCGTATATGCAAATTCCAGTAGAAGAGAGTTCTCGGAACTATTTGGCGATAATAACGCACAAAGGACTATATAAGTACACGAAACTGACTGAAGGTATAGCATCGGGGCCGGGAGATTTTCAACGGAAAATTGAGCAGTGTTTGGCGGGTGTAAGGGGCGCAATCCCATATTTAGATAATATATTCTGCACCGGGGAAACTGACGAAGAGCATTTCCAAACATTAAAGGAAGTATTTGATCGTCTGGGAAGTTGTGGGTTTAAAGTAAATATTAAGAAATGCGACTTCTTTAAAAAAAAACTAGACATTCTCGGATTCGTAATCGACAGGAACGGCTTGCATAAATCCATAACTAAAGTAAAAGCGATGAGTGAGGCACCGAAGCCGCAAAACCTTAAACAGTTACAGTCTTTTATAGGGTTAGTTACGTATTATGCGAGATTTCTGCCGGACAGGGCGGAAATGCTAAAACCGCTATACGAGTGTGTTAAGAGAAGTAAGTTTGAATGAACCAAAAGTTGCGATAAAGCCTTTGAATGGGTAAAAACTGAACTAACATCGTCAAAAGTGTTAGCGCATTATGATCCGAAAGAAGAGATTATCTTAGCGTGCGACGCCTCGGCGTACGGATTATCAGCGATACTATCACATAAATACGCCGACGGTATTGAAAAACCGATAGCTTACACGTCCAAGGTCATTCCGGACGGAGAATTACATCGAGCACCGATTGATAAGGAAGCAAGTGCAATTATATTTGGTTTCAAAAAATTTTACAATTATATATACGAGAAACATATCGTTTTGAGAACCGATCACAAGCCCTTAGTATATATTTTCGGCCCGAAGCAGGAAATTCCATTAACAGTAGCAAGTAGATTGCAGAGATGGGCTTACTTCTTATCAAGATTTTCTTACAAGGTAGAATATATCCGATCAGAACAAAACGGTAATTGTGATGCACTATCGAGGCTTCCGATAAGCGATGTAATGTCAGTGTTCGAGAATGAATACACAGCGATAAATTATGTGCAAGAAAATATCGAAACACTAAATGCGGTGGAGATTGCGAGAGAAACAAAGCGCGATAAGACGTTAAGTCAGATTAGTAAATATATAAATGATATGTGGCCGAAAGAACTAAATGAAAGCGAAGAAAAATATTTTACAAAACGAGATGAATTAATAATAGAAAAGGGTTGTATTTATAATGTGGGGATACAGAGTAGTTATTCCAGAAAGAATAAGAGAGAGTGTGTTGCGAGAGTTACACGCGTCTCATTTCGGGACTGTGAAAATGAAAATGTTAGCGAGGTCATATATGTGGTGGCCGAACATTGACAGAGATATAGAATTAGTAACGGCGGCATGTTCGGTTTGCGCGCAAGAACGAAAGAAACCTGCGAATGTACCGTTAACACCTTGGCCGTGGCCGGATAAAGCCTGGAGTAGGATTCATTGCGATTTTCTAGGTCCGTTTCACGGGCATATGTTTATGCTTATAATAGACGCGCATTCAAAGTGGCCAGAGATTGTCGACATGAACAATTGTACTCAGGTACCGAAGGTGCTGGCGGAATTTAAGAAGGTATTAGGTAGATTTGGACTACCGAGACATTTAGTTACCGACAACGGGACCCAATTCACGAGCGTTGAATTTAGAGAATTTATGAGGAAAAGCGGTATTAAACAAAGTTTTTCAGCACCTCATCACCCTGCTACGAATGGGGCGGCGGAAAATTTTGTTGGAACATTTAAAAATAAGGTCGAAAAAATGGTTAAGAGTGGTAAAACACTTGAGTACGCGATAAATCTATTTTTATTTGACTACCGGTCAACTGAACATTGTACGACAGGTAGAACTCCGGCGTGGATGATGTATAAACGAGAGCTAAGAACGAGATTCGATTTATTTAAACCAGACGCGACCGACAACATCGAGAATAAGCACATTGCTCAAATAGCGGCTCGCAAGGGGCATCGTAACGTCACATTTCAAATCGGTGAAGAAGTAATGGTTGATGATTTTAGTGTCCGAAATAAGAAACGCAGTCGGGGAAAAATAATAAAGCAGTTATCGCCTGTAACTTTTGAGGTCGAAATTTCTCCTAACTGTACGTGAAGAGACACGTAGACCAAATAATTAAAATTAGGGGAACCGACGAATTAATAGATGGAACCGATGCAGGAAGGGCGGCAGCCAAACAACAGATGTGCGTGCGTCGTTCTGCGAGATTAAAAGGAAAAGTAAACACGTCGTAAAAGGGAGGAAATTGTAATGTATCGATAGGTAGGTCGACAAGGTGATCGACGTTGTTGTTATCCTACACCTCGAATAACCAGTATAAGGCAGTTGCCGCTGAGCTGTCACCAAAACAAGTCGATGTATCGGCGTGTAACGGTGTATAGTCTTACCCCGCCACCTCAAGACATAACAGTATGCATATGTAAATAAAGAACAAAAATAAAAACTATTTTAAATAATAAAAATCTATTTGTGTGTGTGTGTGTAATTAAAAATTAATAAAAAAATTAAAAAATCAATTTATATATACCATATATTTTTTTATAGCATATAAAAAAATCCTAAAAATGTACTTGAATTTTTCGTAGATCCTCGATTTTTTTCATTGCTTCTAAACATTCAGCTAAAAGAGCAGTTGAGACTATTCGAATAAAAAATATTTTATCTTATTTTTTGCAAATAATATAATATATTTTTTATTTAGAAGTCCAAAAATATATGTTACGTATAAGTTATTTATAATTTTCGTTCAAATTAAGAGAATATTGTATTGAATATATGTAAATAAATTTCAAGTAATAAATCAATTGCACACATGCACACAGCTGGTATGTAGATTTTTATTAATAAATTTATTTTTAAATTTATTTTTTGAATTATTTTACACTTATATATAGTGTATGTGGTAAAAATATTTTCAATATATTAAAAATTTTTTAAATCGCCGAAATATATTTTTTTATCGTTTTTCTATATTCTATATATATATATATATATATATATATTATAAAAAAATTGATATTGATATATTTGAACTCTAATTTATATACTGAATGATATACTGAACATCCTTGCATTGATTATACATTACTCAACGTTCTTTCACGTTATAAGTATTTGGAGCAAATTATACAATAGCATCAATAATCAAAAAGAAATCAAGAATAATCAACATATCCCATATATATATATATATATATATATATATATATATATATACGCACATATGTGCATAACCATATATACAATTTCTAAAAAGTTGGTGCTTATTAGCCTTGCTACGCTACTGCCTTCTGCTACGGAAGGCCAGAAAGCATTTTCAGGCGGCATCTCGCGTATACCGGCACGGTAGAGAAACAAGGAGAACACGTGATTATTGGTCCTTGTCTCTCTACGGTGCGTCCGCGTGAACAATGCAATGGTGTATGTACGTGTACAGACATGCACCACTACATAAAACCCGAGAATTGGTTTCTCGGCGTTGGCAACACTGAAATCGGAGTTTCGCGTTGTCACCGCGCGAGGTCTCCAACATCAATTCGGAGTTTGGCCGGCCGACCTGTCGACCCTTAACCAACCCTCTTTGCCCTTAACTCGACTAACATTTATGAACGCTGCCCTGATTGGTCACCTAAAGGCTACTCTACTCCAAGGAGTAAATTTTGGAACGCAGCCCTGCAGACAGATTGTGTCATGTATTTACGTCATTGTTGCTTATAGATTTTGTCATAATTAAATAATTCGCTGCGTAAAATAAGGCTTTTACTAAAGAGTTAGAAAATTTGCTTAGCGAATTATTTAATTGTGACAAAACCTATAAGCAACAATGACGTAAATACATGACACAATCTGTCTGCAGGGCTGCGTTCCAAAATTTACTCCTTGGAGTAGAGTAGCCTTTAGGTGACCAATCAGGGCTGCGTTCATAAATGTTACTCGAGTTAAGGGTCGACAGGTCGGCCGGCCAAACTCCGAATTGATGTTGGAGACCTCGCGCGGTGACAACGCGAAACTCCGATTTCAGTGTTGCCAACGCCGAGAAACCAATTCTCGGGTTTTATGTAGTGGTGCATGTCTGTACACGTACATACACCATTGCATTGCCACAGATTAATAGACAGATCGCCAAAGGCCTGTCTAAAGAAGAGACCGTCATTTTTGCCCCTTACCGACACACTTTGCCCCTGGTTCGAGTCCAGGGGATCGATTGTGTAACTTTTTCTAAAGTAAAAATGTGAAAAGTGACAAATTTCCGCCAATCACGTGCATTGATTTTAAAATGAACTCGATGTGTGATAGGAAGAAAATTTTCACTTTTCACATTTTTACTTTAGAAAAAGTTACTCAATCGACTCCCTGACGTCGGACACCATTCCTGCCGGTCGGTGTACATGATGGCTGAGTGCAAAGGTGTTCAGTCTGTCACCGTGAAAACTCGGATTCAAATCTATCTGTATCAACATTTTTTTTATTGAAATTTATAAAAATTATTAAAAATATATTTTTTTGTAAAGACAAATTGAAGTTCTTAAAATATAGAAAATATTTGATTAATTAATTTACGGAATTATTTTGCATTTATATACAATGTGTGTTATAGTTGCAAAATTATTGAAATATTTTCAATATTAAAAAATTCTTACAAATCGTCTTTAAAAATATATATTTTTAAAATAATTTTTATATATTCTAATATATTTTTAAAAAAATTATTATACCAGCTAGACTTAAACTCGAGTTTTCAGATGCAAGAGAGACAAAGACAGAATGATACTCTCTCCTTGTCAAGCAGTCTATTATTGTCTGCTAACTATACGCTCAATCTATTTTAATGAATAATAAACTATTATTTCTTAAACTACGAGAATCTATTCCTAAATGTGCCCAAACAATTCCCAAGCGATTGGTATAACTAATAATAGGGAAATATCAAATTTGTCTGCTAAATAGATGGAGGTTAATAATAACTTGGAGAAACGCGCAGCTAGCAGCGATAAGGTTGGGTTAGCCGCGAATCCGTATTTTATTTATTATAAATTTTTAAAGGCGAAAATGCAAAATCTGACGTTTTGACGACTTATTTTAGTATACAGGGTGTCCGGTAACTAACGGACCAACGATTACAAATGGATTCTTTGGTCAATTTGGGAACGATTTTTCCTTAGCGAAAATGTCGAAGAAGGTCATCATTTTTTACAACTTTCCAATATTTGTCATTATATATCTTTATAACTAAGCCTCAAATTAAAATTTTATTACAGTAAAATCTACCTGAAATTAACTGAAGAATGTAATTATGTTAGACTTTTAACTCCAAAACGTTTAGTTTTCTAAAAACCCATTTTTTTCAATCGCTTATAACTCGAAAATTATTGACTTCTCAACATTTTTGCCAAGAAAAAATCGTCTCTAAATTGGCCAGAGAATCCGTCCTTAATCATTGGTTCGTTAGTTACCGGACACCCTGTATATATGATGCGATTAATGTTTTATATTTTAACACCTGCCAACCTCGTAGTCAGAAAACTCAAGAGGAGCGCTTCCCACAGTTACGTAAATGTGATGGATTAGTGAGAATCATCTTAGTGTTAATCTTACGACGTTTTATTTCGTTTATTGATGTAACCGCGTTTAAATATGTTTATTAGACTTTTATACGTTAAACATGAACTTTAGACTTTTGTGATTTTAATTTGTTTTGTGTACTGCGCTGAAGAAGATCCGAAAAATTGGATCAAAACGTTCGCTTTTTCATTTGTTTTAACTTTCGAGTTTATTTTTATAATTTTATATTAATTTAAACTTTATTGTTTCTATCAGTATATATCGATTAAATGTAATAAATTAGTTTTTATAACCGTAATATTACTTCTGCTTTTATTAACCTTTTATATGTGTAATACCTCATATAGATAAACTATGACAATCATCATTCTATTTAATCTTTAATTTCCATCTATAAATCTTTTGACCGCTTTCAAAGCTTAAGGAAAACAATATGTGTAGGAAGGAATTCTCATCTAATTCCATCGGTGAAAAACGTGGAATTATCCTAGATCCCATTATAATAAATGAAATAATCTACAGAATTAAAATTCATATAGGTGATGACCATCACAGTATTCATTTCAACAATTATAATAAACATGTGTACTTACAATGTAATTTTTAACACCTCTCACTTAATTGTTCCGTACCATCTCATCTCAAAGTACCTTATAGAAAGACAGAGCTCAACCACGCATTTATATATCATACGTAAGTCCTCAAAGTTTTACTATCATTGACTTTTATTTGTATATTTGTATACATTATTGATATCCATTGATAAAAAAACATTAGTTCTTCTGTACACCGACTGGCAAGAATGGTGTCCGGCGTCAGATTTCAGATGTATGTATACGTGTATAACAGCCGAAAATCATATGCACACATACATAGCGCGACATTGTATGTGTCGCTTAAAGCGCGGCGGAGATCAAGGAGCGAAGGAGAAAGTAGTAGGGGGTATTCCGATATTGCATCTCTCTCAAACATTGTATGATCGAGAGAGAAAGCAATACAAGACGTGGTGTCATTTAATGGTGTCCAATAGCTGTCTCACTCACTCGACTATGAATTGAAGGAGTGCGAGTGAGACAGCTATACGGACATGCAGACACCGCGGGTCGCGCTTGTCTATCGGTGTCTCGTTTCCTCCGCCGTACATTTCTGACGTCGGACACCATTCCTGCCGGTCAGTGTACATCATAATTAGGACCAGGTGTAAATTTAAATATTTTGATGTCGTTGTTAATTGATTAGACGCCAGTAAGAATTAAATTAAACTTATTACATTTGTGAAATAAACGACCAATACTGGACTACAAAAATTTTCTTTATTTATTTACCTTATGACGTTTCGACCTGTGGTTTAGGTCTTTATCAAATAATTCTGAAATTATAAATACAACAGATGCAATTACATATAGATTTCTTAAGAAAACTTATTCCACGTCTTTGACTACTACTAAGAAATGCGGCGCAACATTTTTAAGTTTATACCGACTTTACATTTATATTATTTTCCTTGACATCATTTAAGATTTAATTACTGTATAAGGTTTATAATTTTGATATATTGACTTTATATTGTATTAATGATGCGGAAAATCTTATGATAATTTACTTTCGTTTTGTTAGGCTGTAAGGGGTAATTAATGTATACGCTAAAGATGATCGAAAAATCGGTCGAAACGTTAACTAATATATAAGAATAAATTTGGAATTGTTCACGCTATTCTAACCGCGTTTTAGATTCCTATGCCATTGATATAATTATTGGTATATTTATTTATTAATATTATTACTGTTATATTTATATATAAGATTTTGTACCGGTATCTGGTTGGACAAAATTTAATAAATATGGTTAACAGTGTAATCTTTAAAATCTTTATTCTTTAAAGGCTCGTTTACATAGGCAGTAAGCAATTCAGAGTAAAGAGTAAGCAGTAAGCAATACGAAATGGGATTCACTCATTTCGTCGGGAGTAACAAAATGAACAAATCCCATTTCGTACTGCTTAGGCCGGTTCTACAATACGTCGTATGTCGCAGTCGGATGTCGGAACGTAAGCGATTGTCCAATAAGAACATTTTGTTTTCAAGAAAGAAATTTTCTTATTGGACAATCGTTTCCGTTCCGACATCCGACTGCGACATACGACGTATTGTAGAACAGGCCTTACTGCTTACTCTACTCTGAATTATTTACTGCCTATGTAGACGAGCCTTAAACATTTGTACACTTTCCAATAATCGGACATTATAATTGTTCCAGAAAGTATCCATTATCTTTAACTACAGTTATTAATGTTTCTGCTGTTCTGTCAAAAACAGGTACAACATTTTTTACTATTCTTTTCGAATTCTCCAAAAATCGATTTTCCATCAATAAGTCGTTCTCTGTAATATTTTCTTTTCCCAATTTTGGCTTCATCAATTTTGACGATTATTCTTTCTCCTCCAATTTTCTCAAAATGATACTCAACCCAATTTAATAAACACATACACCTAATATATATAATTTGTATATTTAAAATAATTACTAATATTATAAATTTCATGATAAAAATAATAAATATATTATAATTATATATATACTTCACGGCAAAAGTTTTGCCAATCAACAATTGTATGATTTGACAGATCTAATTCATTTTTTTTTAATTTTGTCGTGACGGTTTCATCATTATGCCAAAGTATACTACAAAGATACACATTTTTAAACTTTGTTTTTTACTTATCAACATTAAAAATTTGTGTAATTTCATTATTTAAAAAAAAATCTTATTTAATTTATAAATTAAACATTAATATGCATATGCAGAAAATAAACAAAAAAACAAAAAACAAATTTAATGAGCATGCGCAGTACCTTACAGCCATAAATTATTATTTTTTCTACTCATTGTCATCATGAAATGTTTAGAATTATTATTCCATATTGTTATATTTCACGAATTTGCACGATGTTTGGGCATGTATCTGTTGGGATGTGCTGGTCGAGACAAGAGACATTGTTTTCCTTTTATATATATATATATATATACACGCATCATTGTCTCACTTTGTTTTTGGTCCTATCACGTAAACGAAGAAACGGTCAACCACGTGAACATGAACGGTCTAAATATCAATCGCGGGATTCCGGGAGGTATCGGGCTTTTTCGGATCGACAGCGAAGGCCTGCCTGTGCGGCCTGAGATAAATTCGCACAGATCATCACTTGCTAATCTTCGGGTGCATTCGTTTATGCAGTGATTAGCGCATCCACTGCGTCTATTATCTGCGAGTCACGTGACATCATTTACCGAACGATCACCTGCGTGAATTGACTGCTCAGATTGTAATTGGAGTGCGTATAAGTAAAGAAATTTTAAATAAATATGAATTATTATTTGAATAAATATAATAAAATTTTTAAATAGGATAAAAAATATATTCTCCCTAATAGCACACATATCCGAAAGACATTCAGAGGATATCCAGAGGACATTCGAACATCCTCAGGATGTTCTCTAAACGTCTTCGGGATATGTACGCTGTTAGTTTGATATATTAATATTATTTTAGAAAAAATTCATTATTAATAGAAACAATTCATATTTTGAAAATATATTTTTTATTTAGAGGTTATATTTATTAATTATATACATTATATGTAAGATATTAATTTTTTTTAATATCTTTAAAGAAATTTCATTTAAATATTTTAATTTTCAGAAACAACGGATGGATTTAGAATGGATTTAATTTCATGTAACATTATTGATCAAGCTATGGATCTCATTAATAGTAGCTCAGATTCTAACTCATCATCAGAAGATAGTTCTGATGAAGAGCTGCTGTTATTGGATGATGTTAGTATAGTTAATTTAATTTATTAATTTAATTGACATGTTAAATGTATACACGTACACATTACATCCATTTGTTGTCTACATGCAGGAGCAGGAACGTATAGAAGTGCACAAAGTAAAAAATTTTTGTGATACAATTTTTGGAATGCATGATAAAACATTTAAATCACATTTTCGTCTCACAAGAGGTTCTTTTGAGGTAAGTATATACATTAGAAATATTGTAATTTAAAATTAAATTATAATAATATATATATATATATACACACAATACATATGTATAAATTATATATATATATATATATATATATATATATTTATATAATTAATATATTTATAATTATGTATATATGTATATATAATTTATTATACATATGTATTGTGTTTGTGTGTATATATTTATATTTAGATATTTATATTTATATATTTACATTTATATATTTATATTTATCTATCTGTAATTTAATAATTTATAAATATTGTATAAATTTCATATCTGCTTTGTTTTAGGTTGTCAGAAGAGCAGTTGGTCCTATGCTTGAATCTAATAATAATAATGGAGGTCATCCTAATGTATCTTTGGAAAAAGCAATATTATCAACTCTGTGGTTACTGGCAAATCAAGATTCTTTTCGGGAAGTTAGCAATCTATTTAACTTAAGCCCAAGTACTGTACATAAAGTATTTTATGATGTATGCAATGCTTTGTGTAATATGATAAATGAACATTTATACTGGCCAAATCAGACAGAGTTCCAAAATATAAGGCAAGAGTTTAACGAGCTCAGAGGACCAAATGATTTCCCAGACGTGGTATGTACAGTTGATGGAATGCATATAGAAATTCCAGCTCCGAGAATTGATGCTATGAGTTATTATAATCGAAAAGGATTCCATTCGATTATTTTACAAGGGATGTGTGATGCAAAATGTAAATTTATTGACATTTTTGTTGGATGGCCCGGTGCTACTCACGATGCTCGAGTGTGGAGAGAAAGTCCAATTGGTCAGGCACTTGCAGAAGATTCAACACTTATACCAGAAGGAACTCATATTTTAGGAGATTCTGCATACAGTTTAACCCCTTATTTATTAACACCATTTCGTGATAATGGGCATTTGTCTCAAAGGCAAAAGTTTTACAATAAAAAATTAAGTTCAAAGAGAATTGTCATTGAGCAAGCATTTGGAAAACTCAGATGTAGATTTAGAAGATTAAAATATTTAAATATGTCTCTCATGAACGAAATGAAAATAGTTGTTATTGCTGCTTGTGTTCTGCATAATATTTGCATCCGATGTAATGATGAAATCGATTTAAGTGACAACGAATCTGAAAATGAGAATGAGAATGAGAACCAAAATGAAGACAATGTCATTTTGGAAGCAGGTAATAATAAAAGAAATAGAATTGCCGATATTTTGTGGACGAATAGAAGACATGAATAAAGTATATTTAATAATTTTATAACATTTCGTATACATTTATAGTACTTTTAAGTATGTAACAGGTACATAAGGATTATCATAAGTATTGTTATTTAAGAACAAACAGAAAATAAACTATATCTAGATCATATTTGACTTAATGATAAAAAACGTAAATATTAAAACATAAGACATCTGAAACTAAACAAAAAATCTAACTTTATTTAGTGAGATCATACCTAATTTAAAAATATATAAGCATTAAAAGGCATCTAATAGCGACTTCAATTGGATGCACTAGTGCACACTGAGTGCACATAAAAGTTATTGCACACAATTTACAATGACATAAGTAATTAAAAAAGTAAAATAATAATAAGAGCTATTATTATCATTATTCATATTGAATAACAATAATAGCTCTTACTATTAATTATTTTCCTTTTTTAATTACTTGTGTTATTGTGAACTTGTATATGATAAACCTTTATATGCACTCAATGTGCACTAGTGCATCCAACCGAATTCGCTATAAGACATCTAAGAACAAAAAAACAAAAATTTTATCTGTGAGATCAGGATATCTATCACGAAACTTTTCTAGAGTGAAAGAAAAGTAATAAAAAAAACGACGCACGTAACAAATCAACATATCTAATTGTAAGTTTTTAATGTAGGATTCACACTGCGTCCGATATCCGACGTATAATATCCAATAAGAAAATATGATTTTTGGAGTTAATCAAAAATCAAATTTTCTTATTGATAAATAAGACGTCATACGTCATTTGGACGCAGTGTGAATCCTGCATAATATATTAATGTCTTTGGCATGTTAAATATTATGAAAGTTTTAAAAATGTTTGATATTTATATTATGTAGTACGATTTTGTTGTAAACCTTTCAGGACAGTAACAAGACTGTTTATCGCTTCAATTTTGTCTGTTGCAATCTTTTTTTTATCTTCCCAAATTTCTTTCTTTAATTGTAATGATTGTAATTTCTTTTCCTCGACAAGTCGTAACATTTCTTCTTGAAATTTGATTTTCTCTTTCTTTAATTTCCTTTTTTTGTTGGTAAAATATTTTCTTTGATATCTGCAGTCTTTTCCTGATATATGCCAGCTGAGTCATCCTTTAAGGTAAGTGTTTCCGGTTTGAAAGTTGAACCCAGGGATTCTTCCGGAGGATTTACACTCTTTTTTGCCGCAAAAACTTCATGCATTTCATGGAAATACTTCCAAGTGATGGCACTTTCGCCTGTTCTTTTCAACTTACTTACATTCCGATTATAAGTAACTTGGAGATTTTTCCACTTGTTGACCAGATCATTTTTTGTTATTTTGTAACCTTTTTCTTCAAAAACTTTAACAATTAAATTCCAATATGGTGTCTTTCGGCTATTTGGATTTTCAAACTTGTCATTCATACCAAGACGTTGTTCAAGTAAAGCTGTATTTCTGCATCTGTCCAATTCTCTTTAGTGGCATCTGAAATTAAAACAAAAAAAATATTTTACTTATAAAACTCATAAATATAAAAAAATCATATAATGGTTACAGATTCAAGAAAATAATATTATAAAAATCATTAATTTATACAATCCTAGGAAAAGAAATTATATTAAGAAATACTTTACCAATTAATGTTCTAGTTTTATTACTAATATTATATTATATTTATATTTATATTATATTTTATTATATTTGTATATTATATTTTATTACGTGAAAAGTGAAAAATTTCTGCCTATCACGCATTAATTTAAAAATAAAATCAATGTGTGATTGAAAAAATTTTTCACTTTTCATGTTTTCATTTTAGAAAAAGTTACACAATCGATACCCTACATTAAATCTAAATATTTTTATTTTAGGGGGTGCTTTCCATTTAGCAACACAAGTCGACACAAACATTATTCTATCTTTGTTTTACATTCTATGAGAATAAAGATAAAATGATCTTTGTGTTGACTTGTGTTGCTGAATGGAAAGTACCCATGATTATTTTACATACCTTGTATTGACGGTTCTGACATGTGACGTGTGCACTTAACATTTTCAGACAGTGATGACGGTAGGATTGAAATGTTGCTAAATGTAGACTTCCCAGGTTTTTCCAAAATAACTGGGGACGAAGTAGCTTGATAGCTAGGAATGACTGTAACAGAATTGCATCTTTATACAAAGCACATTTTTTTGAAACAGATTACTTTAAATATTCTTGATAAATGTGCATTTTTAGATTTATTTGATCGCAAATATGAATTAACAAACTTCATAGTCTTATTGTATATACCTTGTATTGCAGAACTTGTTGAAGGTTCTGACATGTGACGTGTGCACTTAACATTTTCAGACAGTGATGACGGTAGGATTGAAATGTTGCTAAATGTAGACTTCTCAGGTTTTTCCAAAATAACTGGGGACGAAGTAGCTTGATAGCTAGGAATGACTGTAACAGAATTGCATCTTTATACAAAGCACATTTTTTTGAAACAGATTACTTTAAATTTATATTCTTGATAAAAGTGCATTTTTAAGTTAATTGGATCGTAAATATAAATTAACAGATTCATAATTTTATTGTATTACTTACCTTGCATTACTTTTAGTTTTGTAGGATCTATTTGGAGGAGTTGTTCTCCACCTTCTTTGTTCTGAACTTTTATAACATAACTCATATTCCAAGTTCAATTGGCTTAACAACGTATTCGTTTCCGGCGAGTTCGCCCTTCTGAGCAAAAACGCTCTGGACATGGGTAGCGAGTTTTGCCAGGTGGTAATCGCCAAGAACGATGGCGTGTACCTGGACGACAAGCGGGTCAAATCGTCCTCGTTGCTGTTTCCCGTTGCGTCAAACACGTCCGAAGAGGATGTCCGCATCTTTTCTTTAATTCTGGAGGATACCGAGACACAGTTCTTAAATTGTTTCATCGATTCAGAAAGGAAGAGAAATGTATGCGTGATCACACACGGCAAAAAGTTGTTCGCGTTAAGCGAGGACAATGTCGTGCAACTGATCTATACGTATTCGTTTACGCAGTAGTTCGCAGTCCTGCGAGCAGAGCATCCTGAGCAGGACCTCCGAGATGGCTGCGCAGATAGGCAGCAGCTCTGCTTAAACGAACAACAAACTGCGCTGCAGTCGGTTGCGCAGGTGGAGTAAACGAACGACATCTGCGGCATTCTGCGGCAGTCACTGCATAAACGAATGCACCCTTATGTCTCGAGGAGCGCATCGCAATACATAGTCGCGCATAATCGTAATAAATCAATATTATACGAGGATCAAGTCATCCAGTTTATTTCAATCAAACTCTTATACCATCGCGTCCATACTGCTGCATTAAATAAAAACTAGAAGTCTGTGCTTCGGCTCGCGTCGCCCGTGGAGATTCAAAATTATACCCGGGACTTTACATGCGAAAAAATTCACGAAACATGAAACTTTGAAATTAAATAAAAAACGAGGTATGAGCAACGATTATTTTTCTCAAAATATTTTTTAAACATAAAAATGAATAATTTCAGGCAAATCGGTGGGGGGGGGGGTTATACTGCACTTTTACCCAAAATAAATATATTTTGTAATAAATATATGTGTATGTGGCTGTATGCTGTATAGTTGTTGTCAAATAATTTTAATCTAAAAGATCTGAAAATATACAAGGTGTGTTTTAATTAAGTTAAATATCACATTTACGAGAAGATAACAAAAAGAAAATGTAAATTTTACGAAAAAGCAACATGATAAATAATAAAAGACTAAATTTTAATTTCAATAATTAAATAATTTAATTCATAAAAATAAAAATTTTAATTTATATAAAAACAGCTTGATTAAAACTCGACGCTCTTTGACCTGACTTTACTCATTCATAAATTACTTCTTTATTAAATTATTCAGTCTTCGACTTTTTTTGATAAGAAATAACACTACGTACTTAGTGCGTGGTCTTTAAGTGACGTTCTGTATAAATGGTGGTTTTACAAGGCTATTTGTTTAAAAACATTTTTCTGTTTGCATACACACACATACACACAAATGACTATATTATTTCAATTCAGTGTTTTTTTAAATTTAACTAGCAACACAAGGGCGCGCTATTAATATTATTTTAATTTTTTTATCGCACATATATTGCGAGACTTCCTGTGTAACTGATTTTTAAACTTCTTAAATAAATGAAATCTTAAATAATTTTTAGATTTCTTTTTATGCGAACTGTCAATTTGCAAATAACCGCAAATTAACACAAGTGACAGCTGCTCAAGACATGAACTGAGCGCATTGAAAGAACCAATCGGCATCGCGGACAAACGGCAACAATTAAAGCGTTACATGCCTTTTTTCAAATAGGAATGAAAATATATACTTATTGTTAGTAATACAACAAAATAAAAAAATAGTAAATCAAGATTTCCCTTTCTAAAAAAAGCATGTTATTGACATTGTCGTCGCTTTTCCGCGATGCTGATTGGTTGTCTCGATTTGCGGTTGTTATGTGTTATATTCCAAGCATCGAGCAGCTGTTGAGAAGATTAACAGTTTGACAGTTGTCGAAATAAGATCCTATTTGAAGAAAGGCATGTGACGCTTTAATTGTTGCCGTTTTTTCCGCGATGCCGATTGGTTCTTTCAATGCGCTCAGTTCATGTCTTGAGCAGCTGTCACTTGTGTTAATTTGCGGTTATTCGCAAATTGACAGTTTGCATGAAAGAAATCTAAAAATTATTTAAGATTTAATTTATTTAAGTCTAAATATCAGTTGCACAGGAAGTCTCGCGATATATGTGCGATAAAAAAATTAAAATAATATTAATAGCGCGCGCGAAGTTAAATCTCACACACATACACACATACATTACAAAAAAAACGGATAATGGCGCGCGCGAAGCGGGCGTTTGTGTTGTCTAGTAATTACAAAACGTACATACGTAATACATAATAAGTATAAATTAAATATCTAGAATTTTGTCCACAAAAATGTATAACAAAAAATATTTTAAAATTGCTATTTTACATTTTTGTTAATTATTTATTATTTACATAATTATTTACATATATTATTTATAATTTTTATTTACTATTTCCTGTTTTTTTATTTTAAATTTCTTTTACATCTATAAATTACTTTACATTACAAAAATATAGATACATTATAGATACTTATAGATACTCATTATAGATCATTATAGATTATTATTCATTTATTTTTAACATCTTTCTTTTGCTTTAAATATACTTCAGATAAAATTGTTTTGTGTAGTATAGACATTCTTACTCTTACAATTAGTCAACCAAAATAAGCTCCACAATTCGAACAGCGTCTTGTTTTTAGCAGCATACAACAAATAATTCCAATTGGAAAAAAGAGAATCGCACACAATAGGCCAAAACATGTATAATCATCTTCCATCACACCTACCTGTTATGTATAGGTTGAATATTAATTTTTTTGACCTTATAGCATGTGTAGACAAATACAATAACATTCAAATAATAAAAAAATCAATGTATACTCTGCATGCCGGACAGCCACCAACTAGAATAATTTCTGGAACAATGATTGCTGTGGAATGCACAGAACCATATGATGGAACATAGTTTCCTTGATAGGTTGCATCAATATTACTGGGATAATATCCAGGAGGTAGTTGCCATGATGGGTTCGCTAATGATAAAAATTTACAACTTATATATGAAACAAACAATGCTTTACAAATAACTTATTGTCACTTTTCTTTTTTTCTTTTCTTAAATAAATTTGTTTAAAGTAAATTTTTGCTTAAATAAATTTTATTTTTACTTAGAAAAGAATGTGTATATCTGTAACAAACTTTTGATTTATTTAGTTATTCCTTCATTAGAATATCGTGATAGCAAAAACGAGATAAAAATCGAGCATGCACTGCTATCACAAAACAGGGAAAATGTGTCATTAATTCATGATTATAAACGTGCCATTAATTCATGATACGTCATGGCAAAAAACAGCAATCATAAAATATGTTATATCAAATTATAATTTTTATCCTAATATATGAGATGTATCTATTTCATATTTAAACTTCTCACAGATAAATATGTATAAACACTACAAAACACAATTAACAAAATTAAAAGTGTATAGTATTTATAATTTTATCAACTTATTTTTTCAACAAAGAGATTCAGGACCTTAAACAAATTATTAAAATTTAATTATTTTATTAATTATGTAACTATGTTAATCATTTATATTAGATAAAATATAATTATATATATATATACAGGATGAGTCATTTTAATCAACGCACGTAAATATCTCGTATAGTAAGCAAGATAAAAAAAAATGTTTCAAACAAAAGTTTTTTTAAGAGTTTAACTAGGCTCTGTAATATAAATATAAATTTAACATATATAAGACAGGCAATAAGAGCCAAATCGCGGATGACAGTGCGTTATCCTAAACGAAACTAAATTTTTTCGTTAGAATTAAATACCTTGTGCACAAGGCACCAAATTTTACTTGGACACGGCCAAGATCTAAAATTGGAATAATCTCTACAAGAGATTTTTAATTCCATGTATCCCCTATTCCCCCTAAAGAAATAAATGCGAGAGAAAAATATAGATCCGAAAGTCGCAGAATCGGGAATCGAACCCGAGACCTTTCGCTTGCCGGGCGACTGCTCTTCCAACAGTTCCAAAAGTTTTTTTACTATGAGGGAAACATAAAATGGTGTTATTGATTTAACCTTGTATAATCATTTAAAGGTCACGTGAAGATCACCTTCAATTTCTTAAATGGAATCTGCTATTTTTTATTACATATTTTTATATCTTATCCAAAGAGCTTTCCAAAATCCTATAAAAAAGTGTTATTTGAAGTACTTTTCAAATTATAAAAGTTTAAAGTTTACAATTTTTTGGCATAAAATGTAAAATATCTTGCAAAATGTTCAGTTCAAATCAATGACACTATTTTATGTTCCCCTCATAGTCAAAAAACTTTTTGAAACATTTTTTTCCATCTTGCTTACTGTACGAGATATTTACGTGCGTTGATTAAAATGACTCACCCTGTAAACTAAAAATTATAAATAATTGATAAATTATCAGTATTTTACAATAATACCTGTAATATTTAGTTTTGTTACATTTATAATAATATAATTCTATTTACAGATATGTTCTGTCGGGCACGTTTTGACATGTAGTGACAATAGGCTATGCTTGATTTCTGCTGTACTTTTGTTATCACACTTGTGATAGCAAAACCTATTCTATTTAGAATATATTTTTACCATCAATATCATTGATATATCAGGTCTCATCTACATTTTTTTCTATTACATTGTGCCAACAAATTATGCTAGTAAAAAACAAATACAGACACAGTAAATAGAATCTGCTGTCAAAATATGTTGACATTTTGTTATCTAGGTTTACTGTAGCATTTTTTCAGTTTTTTTATTAATACTAAATATACATTTCAAAAAGAGATAAATAACAATAAAATTCCAGGTAGCAAACGTATGTCATTTGACAACGAATAATGTCATTTTAATGTTTAATAACGTCAGATGTTAATTGAAACAATATCAATAATTATATGCATTATTATGGAAAATAGTATTTTTCAAAATGCAGAGAAAAATATATTTATAACAGGCTAACCTAACCCTAATCTTAACCTTAAAAAAATTAGAACACACCTGCTGGAGCGGTTGCAACGAAATACGGTGGCGGTTTCTCGACAGCATTTAATGGTTGATTCTCCATAATTAATTTTCTAACTCTTTAGTAAAAGCCTTATTTTACGCAGCGAATTATTTAATTGTGACAAAACCTATAAGCAACAATGACGTAAATACATGACACAATCTGTCTGCAGGGCTGCCTTCCAAAATTTACTCCCTGGCGTAGAGTAGCCTTTAGGTGACCAATCAGGGCTGCGTTCATAAATGTTACTCGAGTTAAGGGTCGACAGGTCGGCCGGCCAAACTCCAAATTGATGTTGGAGACCTCGCGCGGTGACAACGCGAAACTCCGATTTCAGTGTTGCCAACGCCGAGAACCAATTCTCAGGTTTTATGTAGTGGTGCATGTCTGTACACGTACATATACCATTGCATTGTTCACGCGGACGCACCGTAGAGAGACAAGGACCGATAATCACGTGTTGTCCTTGTTCCTCTACCGTGCCGGAATACGCGAGATGCCGCCTGAAAATGCTTTCTGGCCTTCCGTAGCAGAAGGCAGTAGCGTAGCAAGGCTAATAAGCACCCACTTTTTGGAAATTGTATATATGGTTATGCACATATGCGTATATATATATATATATATATATATATATATATTATATAAGGGATATGTTGATTATTCTTGATTTCTTTTTGATTATTGATGCTATTGTATAATTTGCTCCAAATACTTATAACGTGAAAGAATATTGAGTAATGTATAATCAATGCAAGGATGTTCAGTATATCATCCAGTATATAAAGAGTTCAAATATATCAATATCAATTTTTTATAATATATATATATATATATATATATATATATTAGAATATAGAAAAATGAAAAAAAAATTTATTTCGGCGATTTAAAAATTTTTTAATATATTGAAAATATTTTTACTACATACACTATATATAAGTGTAAAATAATTCAGAAAATAAATTTAAAAATAAATTTAATAAAAATCTACATACCAGCTGTGTGCATGTGTGCAATTGATTTATTACTTGAAATTTATTTACGGAATTATTTTGCATTTATATATTTATAGTATGTGTAGTTGTAAAATGATTAAAATATTTTTAATATCAAATTAAGTTTATCGCCTATATAAAAAATATATTTCTATGATTTTCTATATTCCAATATATTATAAAAAATTGATATTGATATATTTGAACTCAAGTTTTTTACGTGATTAAATATTCTTGCATTGAGCCATCATACGTTACTCGTAAGTTCTTTCACGTCATAAGTACTTATGTAGCAGAGAGAAAGAAATGAGAGTTATACAATGTAACATCAATAATCTTATATATATTATAATCTTATATTATATATATATATTATTTCATTTATTTATAAAATACATTTTATAAATAAGTAAAATATTATACAGACAATGTACAAATGTTCAGTTTGTGCCATAACAGCTTCAATCAATAATTATTACTCCAATGAGTATAATTCACAATAATTTTTATATAATATAATAAGTATTTGAATATATAAAAATATTTTTAAAAATTTGTTTTAAAATTAATTGAAAAAGAATCGCCTTCTGGCTGACGTCATTATATTCATTTCGAATTTTCATGTGTATAATAAAAATATACATTTGTATACAAGAAACTGAAAACTTTATTTTCTTTACCAAGTCCGTATAATTGCATGTTAATGAAAATTAAGTGTATATGCATTACAATATATTCAATACAATATTCTCTTAATTTGAACGAAAATTATAAATAACTTATGCGTAATATATATTTTTGTACTCCTAAATAAAAATATATTATTATATTATTTGCAAAAATAAGATGAATATTTTTTATTCGAATAGTCTCAACTGCTCTTTTAGCTGAATGTTTAGAAGCAATGAAAAAATCGAGGATCTACGAAAAATTTAAGTACATTTCTACATGGACGCTACTACATATGCGATGTAAGAGAGACAAAGATGGAATGATGCTCTCTCCTTGTCAAGCAGTCAGTATGTTACCACAGAAATTTCCCCTGCTCCTTATAAATCTAGTGAGAATCTTATCGTCCAGATATTTCATAAAATAAGTGACATAACTTCGTGAATTTTTTTTTAATATATTCTTTATATAATAAAGCAGTCCTCTAAAAGGCCGGATATTACATTTTCGCTCTTAAAAATTTATAATAAATAAAATACGGACTCGCGGCTAACCCAACCTTACCCGTTCCTAGCTGCGCATTCTTCCAAGTTTATTAAAAATTTTTATTTTTATCTTTTTTTCATAAAATAGCTCTTTAGAGGACTACAAATGAGCTTACTGATTAAGAATATCCTAAATTTAATAAGATTTATTCAATATTTTGGCTAATATCTGGAAAATAAGAATCTGTAATTCCCGGCCGGCCGATAGGCGTCTCCACCATGTCGCCTGTTGACCCTTAAACCCGATTAAGGGTGCCGTGTAATTGGGGTCTGTGAGAGAATCCGTAATTCCCGGTCGACTAATAGGCGTCTCCATCGGGCCTCCTGATTCTAAGGTGGGTCTACAATGGCAGCAAGAGTACAGAGTACAAGAGTAAGCAGTAAGCAGTACGAAATGGGATTAGCTCATTCCGTTACTCCCGACGAAATGAGCGAATCCTATGTCGTACTGCTTACTGCTTACTCTTGTACTCTGTACTCCTGCTGCCATTGTAGACCCTGCTTTAGGCTGGATCTATAATAGGTGTAATAAACTCTAAGCTTTAAGAAATTCACAAATCACAGTCAAGAATGAGGGGAATAATCAACTGTGATTGATCAATTTCTTAGAGCTTACTACACCTATTGTAGACCCGATCCAGAGAGAAGAATGAGAGAGGCCACGCCGCCGTTTTTCGTCAAACGCTTTTTCTAGGCTGCTCACTAGCGTCACATACATCCATTTTACGAGCGTCTGGAACTACATGGCCACATCCACTTTCGATGTCGGTAAAAGAGCCAAATTTAGTTCATGTCCGTGCTACATCCACAATTGATAGACCAGAATACGACGAAGATCAGAGTTCAAGACCATATGTTTTCTTTTTTTTTTTTTTTCAGAATTGTAAATGAATAAAAATAAGAAATAATAAATCAATTGTATTTATAAAATATTTTCAATAATTTTATATTCATTTACAAAAATAACATCCCTGAAAATTAAATTGATTGCACAAAAAATATAAAAAAAAATAAGAAAATAAATATTGAAAATAAAATAAATATATTTGTATAAAAATAACAAAAAATTAACATAATATTATAAAATAAAAATAATAAAAAAATAAAACTTATGGAAAATAATTTATCATAAAAAAAATTTCTATAATAATATATATTTAAATGAAATTAAATGAATAATTAAATATACTTTATACTTTAAATTATACAAAAATTGTTATATAATATAATATATGTATATTAATATTTTTTATTTAATACATATACCACGTGTACAAAAATGTATATATATATATATATATATATATATATAAGGTGTCCCGAATTTTGCGAATTAAAGTACCATAGAAAGAAAGTTTCTCGAAAAAGTAAATTATGAAAATTGCATGGCAAATGCTCGTGTACAGATATACACATGCGCATACGCATACACACACTTCGATATTGAGATATCCGTAAGAATCTGTAAGAATTTTCGGAAAGAACATCTGAATGTGTGGTAGGGTAGAGGAGGGAAGAGATCATATTGCGAGCAATTGCGAGTCGACGTATCACTCGCTATCTTGATAATCTCGTGAGAGAAGTATACGCGCTGTTTTGTGTTAGTCGTGCTTCGCGATTGTCCGTAAAGGATTTTACACGCAAAATTATCTGTAAAGGATTTTTTGTGTTTGTGTGCGAAGTGCGTTGTTCTGATAAGTGCAAAATTGTTCACGTTTCAATAATATTATAAAAATAACAATAGTATAGGCGTCTGATGGGCGTGAGAGAGAGAAATAGAATGTTTCTCTCACCGTTTCGATTAGGATATCGTGTTTCAAGGGATAGGCCAAAGGTTTAATTTATTCCAACGTTAAATGATAGTATGTATATGTATAATGTGCAATTGTGAATATTACACGTCTTCACGTCGACAATTCTTCAGAGTCGTATCTTGCCGTTTTCGCCGTCGTTCGATGTTTCGAGGAAGAGAGATATGATCTGTTCTGTTCGGTTCTCTATTCTCTGTGGATTCCCAAAAAGTCGGCATATTTATACCCGGTGTTAAAACCTTCCCTACCCGAAACATCGGACCAATCAGAATTATCTTCGTTCATCGCGCAGAGATGTGTTTTCGGTTTTCTCGACAAACAAAGGATCGCTCAGAACGCTTTCAATAATAAATATTACAAATAAATAAGTACCCGGCACGAGGTCGACAAACAAAACACGTAAATCAGCTAATCTCATCGTCGGTTAACGTCTTTATAAAAAATGCCTACAGCTCGGCCATCCTGACTTTTTGACCGTCCCGGTCAACGTTATTACCAAAATTACAATACGCAATAAATAAAATTCCTTTACCAAATAATACATAATCATGCTCGAATATACGGGTGCATTTGATCCGTCGCAAATTATATCACATCTCGTTTTTTTTCTTTTGCGCTTCGTCAATATTTGTCTGAGGTTTATCTCGCGTCGAGGTCGCGCTACGGATAATCGCTCACATTAATTGGATCGCGTAATAGATCGCTCGCATCACCTCGCTGCTCAATTTTTTCACCATCGGAATTATCATTCTATCATATTTTCCACCTGTCCGTTTGCCCTCGGCGTGCCCACAGCAATTGATACGTGCTCTATAGCACCGGATCCCAATATCTCTCAAATATGTCAGATTTGACACAAGTTCCTCTGTTCGAAATTGAATGTCTCGATTTACCATACGCGCAGAAATATTTAAAGAGATACTCTACCGATTCCTCCGATGCTGTTGACTTACGCGGGTAGAGCCGGATAAATTTAGCGAACACGTCGATGACGACAAACAGGTGACGCCCAAACTTGAAAACAGAGTTTTTTCGAATAAAATCGTACAATGATTTTGCCACCAATAAAAATCTCGGCATAGATCGATGAAAATGACTCGCGAGTCCGACGAACCTATGTACGTCCCTGATGTTACATGGCACCGGATCATTCAACGCAGACTCTATACTCTCATCGCTCGGTCGTTCGTGTTTTAATGCGATAACCCTCTCGAGATCCGGCACGCACTTCTCCGCTCGAAGACTACTCAAACCATGAGATTCGTAGACCTCGCAGATCTTTTCGGTGGTATCTTCATCAACCGCCGGATTAATTTTCACTTTTTCGCTCGAACATACCACATTGTCGTCGCATTCAATATGCATCATTTGACTAACGCGCGCTTCTTCCGCGTTTGTAATTTCAAAATCTCGCCCTAATGTTACACGCAGCGACGGACAATTCAGGAAATCCCGACCGAGCAAAACGCTATACGCCATCGTATTAGGAGGCACCGTATAAAATTTCATTTTCAAGCGCACGCCTTTTACCTCCAAATCGGCGTGAGCGATACCGTCAATATTTAACTGCGAGCCGTTAATTCCGCAAAACTGATCGATGCTCTCACCGGCGAGCAGACGTGAGTCGCCCCGAATTATCTCGCTTTTGATCAAACTAATTGGAGAACCCGAGTCTATTATTGCATCCACCACGTAATTATTGAACCCGTTATTCTCGTTTTCCATTATAATTTTTACGGTAATCGTATAAGGTTTTAACAACGCGACAGGTTGTACGACGTTCATCGACGCAGTTTGCGCACCATCGTTCAGCGTTTCCGACGCCGCGGACCGACTTCGCTTCGGACACTCCCTAGCCAAATGATCCGGAGATTCGCACACATAACACACTCGCCTTGCCTGTGGTCGCACGCACTGATCCGCAGTATGTCCTGCTCCGCGACACCTGTAGCACCTCGTCGAGTCTCCCCGTGTCGATGTCTCCGCTCTTCCCCCGCTAGTTGTCCTCGCTCCGTCTCCCCTCGGTCGGACGTCTGGTCTCTCCGAATGTACTCGAACCACCTTTTCGAACGCCTTCAATAATTCTCTTCTAGATTGGAAGTTCATCAGGCGCGCCTGGCTCTGCAGACGAGGATCGGTCACTCCCTCGATGATATAATCGAGGAGCTCGTCTTCCGCGATCGGTATGCGATTCGCGAGAATCACCTTCTCGTGATAATAATCACAGAACTGCTCGTCTCTCTTCCACACGCGAGCCTCAAATTCTCTCCTCAGCGTCAATTTTCCTGGTCGCAGATCGAACATTGACTCCATCTCTCGCAGAAGGTCCTCCAGGTCCAGCGTCACATACTCGGCCTTGGAGTAGAACCACGTCAACGCACGACCTTTCAACCGAGAGCTAATTAATACTCTCGCTGAATTCTCGTCCAACTGGTACGTGCGTCTCAGCAGCTCCAACTGCTGCTTCCATCTCCAGAAAGTGCTATCAGTTGCATCAAATTCGGGCAGCAGCTCCTTGATTCCTCTCACACCGCCGAACGCAGAAATGACGCTGCCGTTCGTTATCGTCGGTGTCGAGGCTGCATTCCTCATCATTTCTATTTCTCTTTGAAGTAACTGCCGCTCTCTCTCCAAAATCTCTCGTTCTCGACGCAGTAACAAGAGTTCCGCCTGCGTCGCGTCGTCGTGCTCTCTCCGTTCCGGCGTCGTCATCCTCACTCGGTCTCCTCGTCTCGGCGTATCGTCCACGGTCTCCATCTCCATGGCGTCACCCTGTTCACTGGGTGAACGCACACCTCCTGAAGCCGGGATGCCATCCGAATATCTCTCCTGCCTCCGTTGCTCGCTCAATCTCGCCCATACGCCTGAATCGTTGGCATTCAGGCGCTGGATGAGCTCGGCTTTCGACCCTCCCAAGGTCAGTCCTTTTTCGCGAAGAGCCTCCTTCATCTCAGCGATGGTGAAATCACTCGGCTGCATCGACTCCGCCACCGTCCCTCAGATCTGCTCGATCGGTTCCTCGGGCACTCCGCGATGTCCCCGACACTCGCGCAACCCAAAGATCACTATGCGTTGATCGTCTCAACCCGCGCGTCCCACACTCGACGCGTATCGCGAACTCCCGAATCGCCTCTCTCAGGCCGAATTCGCGAAACCGGGTGCAACGCCTCGATCCCACTTCTGATTTACTGTAGGCGTCTGATGGGCGTGAGAGAGAGAAATAGAATGTTTCTCTCACCGTTTCGATTAGGATATCGTGTTTCAAGGGATAGGCCAAAGGTTTAATTTATTCCAACGTTAAATGATAGTATGTATATGTATAATGTGCAATTGTGAATATTACACGTCTTCACGTCGACAATTCTTCAGAGTCGTATCTTGCCGTTTTCGCCGTCGTTCGATGTTTCGAGGAAGAGAGATATGATCTGTTCTGTTCGGTTCTCTATTCTCTGTGGATTCCCAAAAAGTCGGCATATTTATACCCGGTGTTAAAACCTTCCCTACCCGAAACATCGGACCAATCAGAATTATCTTCGTTCATCGCGCAGAGATGTGTTTTCGGTTTTCTCGACAAACAAAGGATCGCTCAGAACGCTTTCAATAATAAATATTACAAATAAATAAGTACCCGGCACGAGGTCGACAAACAAAACACGTAAATCAGCTAATCTCATCGTCGGTTAACGTCTTTATAAAAAATGCCTACAATAGTTATAAAAAATAAAGAAAAATGTCTAATCAGTGCCGTTTAGATACTTTTTACGATAAGTGCATGTATAAAAACTGTACGAGTTCAAGATCTCTAGGAAAACGTTTATATAGATTCCCATTGCAGACTGATAACAGATATCATTTATGGATAAGCAACAGCGGTAAATTTTTTATATCATCTTTAATTACATATTCTGCTATATTTTGTACTTGCATTTTTTATTTCTATTCAATTTTGTTTTACTTATATTCAGTTTGTTTTAATAATACAATCATAAGTATCAGAAAATTATAGAACATAAAGTTTATTTTTATATTCTACAAAAATGTTATATTCTTTTTTTATATATTTTAATATTTAACTCTAGAATAAATATTTAATTTTTTTATTATTTCGTGATAAATTCCTTTTCTTTCCTTTAAACTGAATAAATAAATAATTGATACTGCTCTTTATATTGCCTACTTTAAAGCTCTTTTGCACTGCCTTTTTACTAAATTTAGACTAAGACAACGATAATAAATAAAAATAAACTAAAATAAATGAAAGTAACCTTAATTAAAATAGATCTCAATAATTAAACATTTAATTATTTCGTGATATAATTATGTGCATTTATTTATTGTACTATTATCTGCAACTCGTGATATCTAATTATTTAAAGGTTTTATATGAAATATTCTACAATATATTTTGTATTAATTGATAAATAAATAATGTATTATTTTATATAATTTATATTAAATATGTTTGAGTAAGATTCATTTTGTTTTTGAGATGATATTTTGTATTTATTCACGAATTTCTGCAATTTATTCACACTAATTGCGTGTGCGTATACGACTTTTATTTTTGATGTTTAATATAAAACAAATATTATTGTACATAATATAGTTATTTAACATCAAACATAAACATTATACAGAATCGATTACTAAATCTATTAACACAGTATCTACATTAATTATACATATGTTACAGAATATTCTTTTTGTAATTTGCCTACAAAATTTGAGATAAGTTTTGGACAAAATTTTCGAATTAATTTCAAATATATAAATTGAATTTTTATGCTCTTGTTTATAATGTTTATGAAAAGTATTAATTTAATTTATTAATATTATTTTATACAATTAATGTTATTATTTTTACAATTATTATTTTACAATATTATTTTATCAAATTAATTTTTTTATTTTTTAATATTTCTATCAAAAGATTTTTAAATAAAATTAAGAACAAAAAAAGTGAAACAATATTGTGTTAAGGCTGTCTTTTTATTGCTCGCGATCTATCGCGCTTGAATTTAATCAGTACTGCGCGTGCGTGACTGACAAAATTATCGGCAACAGTGCGGACATGCTAGCATGCGTAAGTACATGTGCTTCAGTTGTTCAGTTGACGTGAGTCCGTGCCGTCCGTGGTCCGTGTCAGTCCTCAGTCAGTGAGCCTGGTTGGTCTGACAAAATTTGTCTGTTGGGTCATATTGCGATGGTAAGTACGCAACACATCTAAAAATATTTTTTAATTTTTATGATATAAAAGTTTCACGTCGTGTGGTATAATCTAATGTTAGAATAGTAATTATAGAATTAATATTATAATTTTGAGTAATATTTATAAAAGAAAGCGACAATGAGATGAAAATAAGAGCGAATGAGATAAAACAATATTTTACGAAATCTATTACGTTTCATTCTTTTCGGTTAATAGCCTTCAGATTTGCTTGCTCAAGGAATTACTCGTGATCTTTTATCGAGATACAAGATAATAACATTTTGTAACACTAATTTTTGTAAAACTCTACTAATAGTAATGTTTTAATAAATATATTTAATTTTATATAATAATTGCTCGTCAAAGGCCTTATTTAAGATACTGTTAAGATAATAACGTTAAAATTAGAACTCTTTCGAACGAGCGAGCAAGCTTCGATGAAATTTCTATATTCGGAATCTTTTTTCAGCGAGTAGTGTCTCGATATCGAAACATATCTCCTTCTCTCTCACTTTCTATTTATCTTTTTTTTCATTTTCCGACAACCGGCATCCCTGTTTTAAGTATTTATATACATATACAGTATATTTTTTACAATTTTTTTTCAGGAAACTGGAGAGAGAATATTGGAATTCTCTCCGTTGACAAAACAAGTAACACCGATGATGACATCGTTGATGCCGATATCAACGATGTCGGCAGAAACTGTGTCAACAGTGGCATCGGTGACATCGGCATCAACGATGTCATCAACTATGATGTCGGCGGAGGCATCGACATCGACACCGGCATTGGCACCGGCATCGGCATTGACACCGGCGCTAGCACTGGCACCAGTATCAGCACCAGCACTGACATCGGCACCGGCGTCGACATTAATGGAAATACCGGCACCAGAGAAGGCACCGGTACCAGCGTCAACGGAGGCGTCAACGCTAATAGCATTAAGTGTAAGTTAGACATTTTATATAAATACAATTTATATTAAATATAAAATTAATCATATATACAGAATTGTATTTTACATACAATATTATTAGAAAAAATGCAAAATAATCCTTTTAAAACATTTTTTATTAAGTCATTTTATTATCTTTCCGGTTTTAATATAATTTATTATTAATTAATATAATTGTTATATTTATTTTTGTTATATATATATATAATGTAAAAAAATTAATCTTTTTAAAATAATTATTACAATTATTACAATTTATTACGTTTTTTATTATTATTTACTATATTATATTTACTTTTTTGTTTCAGAGAGAAGATTTAAAAGGTCTTATTGATGCAGCTGTACAATCTGCCATGAGAGGAGGACGAGGAGGAAAAGGACGCGGGATACGAGGAAGCATAGGAAGAAGAAGGGGAAGAGGAAGAGGACGAGGACATGGATATCAAAGAACAGGGATTAATATTAATAATTATTATACTGCTCCTAAAACATAAAACTATATATATATATATATACTATACATATAACTCGCTATTTTATCACATATATGTAACTTTATATAAAACACTAATAAAATGTAATAAAATTTACCTTGGTCCATTCTTTAGCTGATTTACACGGCCCACATCCAGTTGTATTTAATATTTCCGTTAATTTTTCCCACAGTTCATCCTAGTTAGAAGTTATTAATCGCAATATCCATTAAATATTATTTTAAGCCATATTACTAAACAAATAAAGTATAAAAAATGTTTAAAACTCATTTAAAACTTATTTTCAAAGATATTTTAAAAATGTGAAAATATTTGGTTCCCCTTTTATTCATTAAAAGAACGTTTATTTTAACGTCAATGTAATATAAATATTTATTTAACGTAATTAAATATTTATTTTTTGTTAATATTTTTTGTTAATATTTTATTAATAAAATATTAAATATTTAATAAACCTTAAATAAATATTTATATTACAGTAATGTTAAAATAAATGTTTTTTTTTTAATTTTAAAAGAAGGACTTAATCAATTTTTTCACATTTTTAAAATATCTGAAAATGAGTTTTAAACATTTTGTTTGCTATATTTGTTTGTTACTTAGGAATATTAGTAAAAATATAATAAGGATAAGATATAATAATGAAAGTAAGCAAAAAATGGTAAGTATTATAAATAGTAATAATTATTTTCAACTATCCGTTAGTCATAATATTTTCCCTTTATTTTCTTTTGCTTAAAATAATTTTTCTTACACAAAACATAAAATACATAAAAAATAGTAAAAAGACATTAATAAATAGGATGGTATTAGAATGGATAAAAAATAGCATTTCGATTTTTTTATCCATTCTAATACCATCCTATTTATCAATGTCTTTTTACTATTTTTTATGTATTTTATGTTTTGTGTAAGAAAAATTATTTTAAGCAAAAGAAAATAAAGGGAAAATATTATGACTAACGGATGGTTGAAAATAATTATTACTATTTATAATACTTACCATTTTTTGCTTATTTTCATTATTATATCTTATCCTTATTATATTTTTACTAATATTCCTAAGTAACAAACAAATATAGCAAACAAAATGTTTAAAACTCATTTTCAGATATTTTAAAAATGTGAAAAAATTGATTAAGTCCCTTCTTTTAAAATTAAAAAAAAAAACATTTATTTTAACATTACTGTAATATAAATATTTATTTAAGGTTTATTAAATATTTAATATTTTATTAATAAAATATTAACAAAAAATATTAACAAAAAATAAATATTTAATAAACGTTAAATAAATATTTATATTACATTGACGTTAAAATAAACGTTCTTTTAATGAATAAAAGGGGAACCAAATATTTTCACATTTTTAAAATATCTTTGAAAATAAGTTTTAAATGAGTTTTAAACATTTTTTATACTTTATTTGTTTACTACAATACTTGGGTTATATTACTTTTTTTCTAATACTTATTTTGATACTTATATTGATATATAAATAGTATGTAAAATGTATATATATTTAAAATTAATAATAATAAATGTATAAAATGTATAAAAAGAAAAATCTAAAAATATTTCTTTGTCTAAATATTTCATTAATTTTATGTAGACAAACATATAAGAAGATATATGCATATCTATACTCATATACATATATGCCGAATAAATTTCGCGTAGTAAATAATATTTTTTACATATACATATAAAATAATACATGTGCATATAAAATTACATGTACATATAAAATAATTTAATATTAAAATATTAATTATTTCTTTTTTTATTGTAAAAAATTAAATTTTAATTCTACAAATTTTTAATACAATTACATGTGTAACATATCGAGTAAATAAATTAGTTTTTAAATTTTCTTTTCTTTTGTTTTTATTACAGGAAATACGAAAATAGAAAAATGGTCTGCCAGTTCTATTCGACGTGCGGGATTGTGTGTGAAGATCATTTTCTTGAAGACTCCTTCACACATAAAACGACAAGAGGATTAAAACGCAGTGCAGTACCGATTCCTTTCGAGTCTCTAAATAACGTAAGTAATGAACACAATGTATTGATTTCTTTAGATTCTCATAATATTAATAAAAATAATGAAAATAAGAAAAGAAAAAGTATGCAAATGGAAGAAGTGCTTTATTTACAAGAAGAACAAAGTATAAAGAATATTGTATCAACATCTACTACATCATCTACGTCTACTGTTGTTAATGAAAATGTAATAGACGAGCATCCAGAATCACAAACTTTTGAACAACGAACAAATTCATTGCGATGCTATCAGCCACGACATTTAGATTTTAATTCTTCCATAGAAAATGAAGATATAATGGAATGGATGCACATTGAGCCATCTATGCATCAAAGAGTTCTTACGCCTCCTCCGTCTAATAATAATAATAATAATAATAATAATAACAATACAAATATAATAGAATCGGCGCATCTTGAGCCATCATACATGAAAAAGTTCTGTTTCCTCCGTGCAATAATACAAGAAGTACTAAAAATAGTACAGAAACAAATACAAAAAATGAAATAATACATAAGTTATGTGCAAAAGTTAAATATCTAAAATCTGAAAATATACGATTGCGAAGACAAGTAAGATATCTGAAATATCGTTTACGTCATATTCCACAAAAACGTAAAACGTCAAAAAAAGATAAACAAAAGAAAATAATATTAAACAAATTGGTAGACGAACAAGATCTAAATCCTGTTGCGAAGGCGATGATAAATTTGCAACTGCATAAACGCAATGCAGCATATACAGAAGAAGAGAAAAATCTGTCAAGACAACTATATTATTATTCACCTGCTGCTTTCTGCCGCTTAAGAAAAGCAGGTTGCAATTTTCCAGGGCAACGAACTATTAGAAGATGGCTGGAAGAATATGACGTACGGCCAGGATTTTGTGATTTTATTTTTCAAAAATTAAAGGAAAAGATTTCTTATTTACCAGTAGAGGAAAGAGTGTGTGCCTTAAAATGGGACGAAATGGCCATAAAACCTTATGAAGAATATTCGCAAAAATTAGATGAAATAGAAGGTCTTGTCGATCTTGGTCCTCTAGGAAGAAAATCAGAAAGATCTAAATGCGTATTTGTCTTTTGCCTAGACAGTTTAAATGCGCGTCACCCATGGCGACAGCCTTTAGCATATTTCCTTCCGGGAAAATGCATGAAAGCAGAAGAAATAATAATATTATTAAAAGAATGTTTAGACAGATTGAGTACAACGGGTGCTGATGTGCAACTTTTAACATGTGATCAAGGCACATGTAATCAAAGTGCGTATAGTGAACTCGGTATTGATGCACAGAGGCCATGTTTTATACATAATGGAAAAAAATATAACGCATCTTTTGATTTTCCTCATCTGGTAAAAAGATTGGCAAGTTTTCTTAGAACGCACAAAAACATTTATTGTGATGGAAAAATAATCGCATCGTATTCAGATTTTGAAATGACTTGGTATATTGACAATGCCACAAAAGGAGGCTCAAATTTATTATCCCATATAACAGAAGCACATATTCGTCCAAATAATTTCGAAGCGATGAATGTTAAAAGAGTTTTTCAATTATTTAGTCACACATTTGCAGCTGCAATAAGAACAGCTGGTAATGCAAAAGAATTAAATACGAGTACGTGGGAAGCTACAGCTGACTTTGCAACACGCTTAAATAATATTATTGATGCTTGTAACAGTTACAGCCTTAATATTACATTTGGCGGAAAACGACCATTATCCTTCAGAAATTCAGATATTGAAAATCTGTTAACAGATTCTATCGAATGGTGCTCAAGATGGTCAAAATCGGCGGAAAATCTAGTTCAAATTCCTTGTTTCAAAGGTTTTCCATTAACTATACGAGCTATTCTTGCAACTTATAAAAAACTTGCAAATCAATACGAAGGATTTGAACTTGCGACAGGATTGTGTAATCAGGATTCTGTCGAACATTTGTTTTCTAAATTGAGACAACGCGGAGGTTTTAATCCAAATCCAACCGCAAGAATGATCCGATTATCTATCAGACATATACTTTCCACAGGATATATTCAGACTAGCGACAAGGGCAATGTTCAATGTACAGAAGGTGTAACTCTTATTAATCGACCAAGTCGACTTGTTAAGACAATAGAAAAATGTCATGAATACGAGCAATGCGACTGTAGAATATATTGAACATGAAAGTGAATTGCTTGACGAAGATGTTAGAATTCTTCTCGAAGAATATAATATCGAACAAATTGATAATATAAATCCGATTGATAGCAATTACGATGAAAATGCCATTGCATTTTTTGCCGGATTTGTGGCACGGCGAAGTATTGCTAAAAGTAACTGTGACGATTGCCGCAACGCAATGATGAAAACACCAATGGATGAACCTGCAGCAAATGAAAAATATATAGAATTTCGTGAATATCCAAATACAGATGAAGATGCTCCAACAGTAACAAAATTAGTACGACCAACAACTCTATACACAAATATTACTAAAACGCAATTAATGGCGTTTAATTGTACATGGCAAAGCCATTGGTCATCCACACAGATGCTTGAAAAAATAGTGACGGAATGTGTACATGCAACGAATCAAATTCATCCAGATTGGTTAGATAAAAATAACGAATGTTATAATCATCGGATGCAAGCATTAAAATACATGATTACTGTAAAAATATATTCCCGTACGAGATATAACAATCGTACTGCCAAAGTAGTTAGTGCATCATACAAAAAAGTTAAGAGATTTATAAATAAATAAAAGTATATATAAGAAAAGTAAAAAATAAAGGATACTAAATGTAAGATCATCTTGAGCACTATTATATTAATTACAAATAAGAAAAAAATGATATGAAGAAAGAAAAACCACAAAGGTCTAAAATAATATCATTATTAATAATTCATTAAAAAAAAAATATTTAAGAATTTTATATAAAATTTATTTAATAAATTTTATAAATATTTTATACATTTATTTATTAAATATTTTATATTTATATTTATTTTATATTATTTTATTATTAATTAATAGTAATTAATATTAATATATACATCTTATATTATTTTATATATATATAATAATATATTAATATTTATTAATTTTAATATTTAAAAAAATTAATGCAAGGAATAGAAAAAACATAAAATAACGTGGAACGTAGTAAAAATTATCTAGAAAAAGAATTATTTTTTAATATGAGTATTTTCTATAAAATAATATAATTTCTTTATTTTGTAATTTTGAAAAAAATTTCTTCATTTTTTTATTGTTATATATATCTTGCATAATTTTGTCATTGAAAAGAAATATTTATACTGTGTATCATGAAATTACATTCATTAAAATATGTTTGCAAATCATGTTACATTTAGTAATGAGTATTATTTTCCTGTAATGAGAAAAATAAGCATGAATTTTTCAATTTCTTAGAAGATTGCAATCACAGTTGAAACAAATTACATAAATCGTTAACTAGCAGGTTTAATCACGGACTAAATAAAATATTTTTATGCAATCATGCTAAGAAATTGTAAAATCATGTATTTTCTGATTACTAATGACATATAACACGAGATATATATAATAATAAAATTTTAAGAAAGTACAGTAACACGGTACAATAAATGAAATCTATCGTATATGTATTTGTTGGCATACGGTATTCTAATATAATCATAGAAGATACATATGAATACCGTTAATAATATAGTATACAGTAAGTGATTTTGACAAATCACTTACAATAATAAGACGCCTTAACAGAAATAGATAACAAAAGACATCAAAATATATAACTGATTCTTTTAGTTATAGAAAATCTATATTATATGTAGATTTCCCGTGATAAGACCTGTTAGTTTGAGCGATTTATGTAATTATTTCAACTGTGATTGCAATCTTTACGTCATGCATATCTAAATGCCAACTAAAATACATATACACATATGTACCTAAATCTTTAATTACAATATATTATTAATTTTTTTAAACATACGTTCCACGTTAACATAGTAAATATGATTAAATACAAATTATTTAACAATATCTTTTTTCACAAAATATATGTTTTATAATAATGAATACTTTTAATTACAGCTTTTTTTTTAGAGCGGAGGGTTTTTTAGTGGGTGAGAGTCCCACATACCCCCGTCGGACGGCCGATGGGAAATGCATAATGCATTTTTCCCTTCCTACAAAAAAAAAAAACTGATATATACAGGATTCCGAAATTCGCGAGTCAAAATAGTATAGCAAAAAAGTTCTTTAAAATAAATTAAAAAGTTTAAGCTATTTCTTATTCTAAACAATAAAATTTTTGAGGTAAAAAAATTTTAAATTGGCCAATTATAGATTACGATTTAATGGACACTTGAAGTGCGTAAAGTGCATGGTCACTACCCAAACAGCACACATATCCTAAAAACGTTCAGAGAACATTCTGAGGATGTTCGAATGTCCTCTGGATATCCTCTGAATATCTTTCGGATATGTTGTGCTATTAGGATATAACATAATCGACTCACGGATAGGCGTCCGTTTAATCGTATTCTGTAATTGGCCAATTTTAAATCTTTTTACCTCAAAAAATACTGTTTGGAATGAAAAATGGTAAAAATTTTTTTAATTTACTTTTTCGAGAAACTTTCTTTTTATGGTACTTTAATTCGCAAAATTCGGGACACCTTATATATATATATATACATTTTTGTACACGTGGTATACGTATTAAATAAAAAATATTAATATACATATATTATATTATATAACAATTTTTGTATAATTTAAAGTTTAAAGTATATTTAATTATTCATTTAATTTTATTTAAATATATATTATTAGAAATTTTTTTTATGATAAATTATTTTCCATAAGTTTTATTTTTTTATTATTTTTATTTTATAATATTATGTTAATTTTTTGTTATTTTTATACAAATATATTTATTTTATTTTCAATATTTATTTTCTTATTTTTTATATTTTTTGTGCAATCAATTTAATTTTCAGGGATGTTATTTTTGTAAATGAATATAAAATTATTGAAAATATTTTATAAATACAATTGATTTATTATTTCTTATTTTTTATTCATTTACAATTCTGATTTATTAAAAAAAAAAAAAAAGAAAACATATGGTCTTGAACTCTGATCTTCGTCGTATTCTGGTCTATCAATTGTGGATGTAGCACGGACATGAACTAAATTTGGCTCTTTTACCGACATCGAAAGTGGATGTGGCCATGTAGTTCCAGACGCTCGTAAAATGGATGTACGTGACGCTAGTGAGCAGCCTAGAAAAAGCGTTTGACGAAAAACGGCGGCGTGGCCTCTCTCATTCTTCTCTCTGCCCGATCGTATATACACATTATATTCTAATACTATTACATAACTACTACATGTCTCGAATCTTTTTCTTTTATTTATTTTTGTCCCTTTCTTGCTCACTTCTTGGTTATAAATGGCAGAACCAATCAGAAATCGACCCCCTGGTATCGTTAACTTTTACTAGAGGAACTCTATTGTTCACGCTATTAGCACCCTCTATCAGGATCTTCTAGAGATATTTTCTAGGGATTCTGGTTCACTTTCCATAAGAGTTCGCCATCTTTGTATCACGTGATACACGACAGTGCGTGTACTGTGCCCAATTGTGCCGCTGACAATGAACTGCAGCGGTGACTGTGATAAGTGATCCGCGTAAAACCCAATTCTCTCGTAAAAAATCCTAAAAAAAACACGGATTAGTGGCGGTGGAGAAGGATAGCAAAATCGGTCGCTAGACAAACACAGCAGCAGATCCCTTGATGATTCGCGCCTTACGCGAATCGCAGGCAAGCCGGAGCTCGCAATTATGTTCGATGTACCGCAGAAGTTCTACGAGCTGTGTCGCCTTTGTTTATCTCAGGATGGTGTCACATTGTCCATATTCGAGGAGGAGGGCATTCAGCGAAATTTCACCGAAAAGATATTAGCGTGCCTGTCAATCACCGTAAGTGTTACAATTGTCTCAGTTTCGCATCGGACAAGTCCCATCATCATCCTGATGATGAATAGTCTTGCAACCGTGCGATGCGTTCCCTCTTTCTCTCTGTCTGCGTCGTTTCCGTCGTCGCTTGCTCTCTCTCTTTCTCCCGCAGTGGAGCGCCTCGCAAGGAGTGAGCGTGAGTGAGAAAGAGGGAGAGAGAGCGCAACTCGCTCCTTTCTATTTCTCTCTCTTCAACTCGCGAGTCTGCGTTTCGCGATCCCATTCGCGGATCCACGTCAACGCGGATATGTATATGTATGCATGTGTATACGTACATGCGTGCGTGCGTGCGCACGCGAGAGAAAGTTTGGCAAGAGATGTATTCGCGAGATAAGCCGCGACGAGCAGCAGCAACGGTATTTAAAATGGCAGTGATAAGCCATGCGCGCGAACGAGAAGTGGAACTCGAGTCGAGTCATCGCGAGAAGGGGGGAGAAAAGGGAGCTGCGGCTCCTTATTTGGTGTCCTCTTATCATGTTTCACGTGTTGCGAATTTCGCATCCGTGTTGTCGTTTTATCGCTTTTTGACATCTTTCGAATTTATTAGAGATCCATTGAGGATAAACGGAAGTAAAAATATTTAATAAAAGCACATGGTACTTAAAAGTCTCTTATTGTATATACATGGGCGTCTACAAAGGGGGGCAAAAAGGGCATTTGCTCTCCCTCGCCCTTTTAGAATTAGTAAAAAAATTAAGGATTTGCTCTCCTTTTAAATTAAACTAAACTTTTGAATTGAACTAAAATTTATTTGCATATTTATTATAAAAGAATAAAAATAACAAAAAAATAAAATTTGGAAGAATTAAGAACAAAAATAAAAAAATCTAATATACCCCTTCCTGGAAAAAATTCTGCAGACGCCCATGTGTATATTTAACCATAATTTATGCGTATATGAAAATGAAATAAAATTCTTACCGAAGCAATAGCTAGAGATAATGTACAGTTTATAGTTTATATTAAAAATATACTAATATATATTTTAAATATATGTATATAAAATTGTTTGTATCATTTATAATAAATAATGCAATGAATTAAATATTAAATTATTTGAATATTAAAATAAAAAGATAAATGAAAACTAAAAATATAAGAAAATATACCGGGTGCCCGGTGACTCGCGTTTTACACGTTAATGAGAGATTTCTGAGGCGATTAGGAGACAATTTTTCCTCAGCAAAAATGATGAGAAAGGTCATCATTTTTTTAATGTTCCCAATTTTTGAAATCATGTATCTATGTAACTAAGCCTTAAATTAAAATTCCATTATAGTAAACTTTACCTGAAATTAACTAAAAAAATGTAGTTTTGTTAATAATTTATTTTTACAAGGCTTAGTTTACAAAAAAGCTTTTATTTTCAATCATTTATAATTCAAAAATTATTGGTGCCTGGATATTTTTGTTGAGGAAAAATCGTCTCCAAATCGCCTCAGAAATCTCTCATTAATGTGTTAAACGCGAGTCACCGGATACCCTGTATATGTATTGATCTTTAAGGGAATGGTTTTTGTGTTTTATCGACAAATATTTTCATTTAACTCTTTATTGGCTATACAAAATGAAAAATTCTTTACTGGAATTAAAGTATTCGTAATAACAAATGTAGGCTACTATATGTCTATATAAATAGAAACCAAGAAAGTTAAATAATTACATTTTTATTATTGTTTAGGTTAAGCTGACCAAATGCAAAAGACTGATAAAAAACTAATTATTTAGTTTTCTTGTTTTTCTTATATACATATATAGTAGCCTGGATTTATTATTATGAATACTTTAATTCTATAGTATATATATATATATATATATATATATATATATATATATATATATATATATATAGTATCTATAGTCGCGTTTAACACATTAATGAGAGATTTCTGAGGCGATTTGGAGACGATTTTTCCTCAGCGAAAATATCCAGTAGTATATATCCAGTAGTGTATATGTATATATATATATATATATATATATATATATATATATATATATAAATAATCCTTTATATAAAAATCCTTATATATATATATATATATATAAAGGATTTTTCATTCTATATAACTAATAAATATTTAAATGAAAATAATATTTATCGATAAAAGAGACACATTCCCTTAATTTTAATAACATATATATATAAAATAAAGATAAATAGGTAACATCAATATAATTTGATTATAAGGAAAACTATTACAGAAATTATTTTGACTAAACATTACTGTTAATTTTTTTAAGTTTTTGCTTCTTCATTGATTAGTTCCATATATATTTTATATCAATATATATTTTAAGGTAAAAGATGGCGATTCCTTGCCAACAAATATTTGCCATCGGTGTGTATCTAAATTGGATGCCCTACACATCTTTCGAGAAGTGTCGCAAAAGTCTGACATCATACTTAAACAGTACCTGGATTATGCCAAGCAGTTGTCATCTCCTGAAGAGCAGGTATTTGATTATTTTTATAACTAAATATTAAATTATTATATATTGTTTCTATAAATCAAATCTATATTGAGAAGAAAATGAAACAAAAATGGATTGATATTTAAATATTTTATTTTTCTTTTTTAGAAAGAGACTTCCTCCACTGCCAAAGTAGCAGGCGAAAGCCCTCTACAATCATTCCTCGAGTTGAATAGGACATTATTTAATGAGGAGTCTAACTCCGAGCCGGCCAGCATTAATCAAAACATAATACCTCAAACTCAAACGCATCATCTACAGTTGCAAAACAGTGATATACTTGAACATGACGATAATATTAAGTGTGAACCAGAAGATGACACATGTTCTAATAGCTCTGATCCTGAACGATTAGAAATTGAGGATCGTGAGGAGCAGGAAATCGAAAGTGAAGAAAATGGTTATGACATGACTGTTAACAAGAGAATAAAAATTGAGGATAATTATGATGGTTCTGAATCCAACACAGCAAATTGTAGTCCAATTAATAGAATGGATACCCCAGAAAGCAATTGTTCTGATAGTAACATTGATCATGAAACGACGAAGCTTTGGCAAGCTTTAGCTAAGTATGTAATTTACTAAACAAATTTGCTTTTGTTTAACAAATGTCTGCTTAAGATCCATTCATAGTTAAATTATACAATAAGTATATTATGCAACTTTGTAAATAAAATAGAACATTTTATATTACAATTATTATATTTTTATTATTATATTATTGTATTATTTTTTATATTTTAGAATTTTAATAGTAAAAAATTATGTTGAATATATTAATTATTTATCTGAATTACATTAATATTATAATTTCTCAATAGATTGCATTATATATAGGTTGGACCATTTTAATCAATTCACGCAAATATCTTATAAAGTAAGCAATATAGAAAAATATGTTTTATACAAAAGTTGCAGAGTTCAGAGGAGGACACCTGACAGTGACCTTAGTTTTGACCTGAATGGTAAATTTGAAGGTTATTTGAAAGTCAACTTGATTTTCTTAAATGAAACCACCAATTTTTCATATCATTCTGGTTGCTGATGTTGAGACCTCTTCAAAATACTATAATAAAACATTTTTTATTAAGTACTTTTTGAGTTATAAAGGTTTAAAATTAACAACTTTTTGACAAAATGCTTTCAAAAAAATATGTTGCAAATTACAAACATTCTTTTTAAAGCAACTATGTTTTCTTTACATGCATTAATTGACCGCATTATTCCGTGCATAAAAGTATTAAGGTATGATTACCGAAAACTAAATATTTTGCAAGATATTTTACATTTTATGTTAAAAAATTATTAATTTCAAACCTTTATAACTCAAAAAGTGTTTAATGAAAAAATGTTTTATTATAGTGTTTTGGAAAAGTCTCGACATCAGCTACAAGAATATAATATGAAAAATTTGTGATTTTATTTAAGAAAATCAAGTTGACTTTTAAATGACCTTTAAATTTGACATTAAGGTCAAAGCCAAGGTCACTGTCAGATGTCCCCTTCTGAACCCTGCAACACTTTTGTATAAAACATATTTTATTATATTACTTACTTTATAAGATATTTGCATGGATTGATTAAAGGTCCACTCTGTATTATAATTTCATATTTTTCTATTATTACATAAAATGAATTATGAATTATTTGAATGAATTATTTAAATTAAACTGAAAGTACAAAAAAAATAAAACAATTAAAAAAAAGTAAATTTATTTTTAACAGTTTCTATCCAAGTAGATTGCACGACTATTATTTTTTATGTCAAAACAAATTTGTTTTTCTTTATAAATTATCTTAAACTGTACCAATTATTTTGTTTTTTAAGTTTTTTAATTTTAATATTTGATTGTAAATAATATTGTAAAAAGTTATTTGTGTGTCTATGTTATCATATTTTGTCATGCAGCAATAGAAGTTTGGAAATTACACGCTCAAATGGTGATAAGCTAAACAATGGATTTACTGGTGAAGCCACCAATCTGCTACGCTCCTTGATCAATAACAGGCAGATTGGTATTACTGCCATTGATTCAGACAAAATATCTCCGCAAATCAAATTCTATAGGGATGTCCAGGGGACAACCCTCGAAGATATGCTCGCTTTACCTGTTGTACTTGCTAATCGTACCAATATAGCGCCTTTAGAAAACAAGGTAAATGAGAATTGATTCTGAAACTTTTTAGAAAATTTCATGAAAACCTGAGTAAAAATTCACAATTTCCTCTGATATTCTTGTGATATTCCTGTGATATTCTTTAATTTGTTTCATGCATGCTTATCTTTCTTTAAATAGAAAAGAAGATTCTTTTGGAAATATTTTTGACAAATACGAATATTTATAAAAAGAAAACAAAATTTCTTTAGGATTTTTTTTTTACTATTTAAAATGCAGTTTTATGTAAGAGAAATATAAGATGTTTTATATATATATATATATATATAAAATTTTTTAAATTTATATATATATTTATATATATATAAATTAAATTTTTTTAATTCGCTTTTAATATAAATGGGTTTTTCTTGGTTACGTTGGATATTCTTCTTATAAAGGGGTTTTTCTTAGTTACATTGGATATTTTTTATAAAAACAAAAAAAAAACTAGCTTTTTTTCATAAGTCAAACTTCCAGATAATATTTTTGAAATATATTAATATTAGAATTAGAAGCAGTTATATATAGAGAAAGAATAAATTAGTTTTTATTGAATAGTTAAATTTTAACAATACATTTTTAGTTTTCAAATACTTTGCAAAATATGTTTTTATATTGAAATAAATTATTATGCATTTGTTATTTTTTTAGTATTGTCTCTGTATTTCGATAACAGGTGAAATATCTTTGTATTTTTTTAAAAACGATTGTTTTTGATAACAAGAAGACATCCTTAAAAGAGCCGATTTTTCCAACTTTTTTGATAAGTTTTTACCCGACAGGTAGCATATTTTCGTCTCTTTTTTTAGAATTTATCTGAAAAGAGACGAAAATATGCTACCTGTCGGATAAAACTTACTAAGAAGTTGAAAAAATCGGCTCTTATTGAGGTTACAGTTGTTCAGCCTAAGTATAGTTACGTTTTTATATTTTTAGTTTTTATAATTTTTATTTATAATATTTATAATATTATAAATAAAAATTATAAAAACTAAAAATATGGAAACGTAACTAAGCTCGTGTAATACAAAACGCAAAGAAAACACATAATAAGGCCAGAAAACGAGCACCAAATTAATTATAAAAACAAAATCTATACAATTTAATCGTTAATTCATCTAATTATAAGGTCATACAGTCATCTGAATAAAATAACTAAATAAAATAAAATAATATAGAATAAAATAAAATAAAATAAATTAAAATATAATGAAATAAAATAGAATAAAATAAATAAAATCTATAGAATAAAATAAATAAAATCGCAATGTCAAACGTTTCGACCTATACTTAGTCGTCTTCAGTAATTAACAAATAAAAAATCGATATTTGTGAGCGAATGATGCATTACATCGAAACAGCTGATAAAATGTAAAAATTGTACAATAAAGTGAAACAATATATAAACAATATATAAATATTTCTTGATTATATTTTTACATTTTTATACAGAGTTCTATTAATTTGTTATTTGAGAATAAACTTTTCATATTCTAAAAGTTAGACTATTTTCCAATCGTCGAAATTCGTTGTAAAATCATTGAAGATAAAAAAATTAAAAAGATTTTGAAGCTTGAAATTTCAGCTCTACGCTATTGGTGATAAAAAAATATATCTTGTTCTGAAAAATACAGGTTAAAAATTGTGTAACTCGGTAAAAAAAAAAAATTGTAAGATAATTTTAAGGAAAGCATTTTGTAGTGTTTTAGTTTGTGGAATTTGAGTTAAATTTTTGTCATTTTTTTATCGAGTTCCAAAAATACATAATTTTGAGGAACAAAACATTATTCTTTTTTAAAACACAAAACAAGGAAAATAAAAAAAAAATGTTAAAAATTGCGTTAAAGTTGAAATTTCCCAGCTTCAAAATGCTTTTTAAATTTTTTGTCTATTGATTATTGATTTTTCGCTAAGTTTTAACAGTTTGAAAATAGTCTAATTTTTAGGATATGAAAAGTGCTATCTATTTTTTTATATTAATTTTATACAATGCAAATTAAAACATTAATTTTGGAATATTGTTTTTAATATTGAAATTATTTCTTACATAAAATTGACCTTATGTAAAAAATTCTTGATTCTTTGTGTGGAATATCTTAATATATTATGACGAGCTATTATAAAAATTATTTATTTGAGAAATATTTTTAAAAAAATTTGCAAGAAAACATAAATGATGATTTAATCTGTATGTATAGAGTGCCTCGATAGACAGTAACCCATCTAGCCCTGCCAGTGTCGGTCGTAAGGAAGTGACAGTAACTACAAAGGGTCGCAGGAAACAAAGCTATCCCAGCAAGGCTCCTGCGAGTCCGGATGTCGTCGCCAATTATCAGCATGAACGCAACAATGAAGAGCAAGCCCATGACTTCACCACGTGGTCGAATAAGATAAAGGGAAAGGTATTTTTTTGCATGTGATAAATTTGTTATTTGAGTCTCCTGGCTCTTAACCGATCTGTTGGAATTGTGATGTCAGAGATGAGAAAACATGCTAAAAATTCTTAGATGCTATTATGAAATAAAGATATATTGATGAAACAGCACTTTAGATGGCTTTAGCACACTCGTAAAATACCTCGAGAACTATCCTTTTCTTTTTACAATCAATAAACAGCTGTAAAATGACCGTAATACCAGGCTCAGTCCGTCTAGTCCTTGCACATGCGCGGTCATTCCGCATGACGAAGTCTGATATCACGATCATTTTACAGCTGTGGATTGATTGTCAAGGGAAAAGAATAGTTTTCGAGGTATTTTAAAAATATATTAAAGCTATCTGAAAAATAGTGTTTTATCGAAATATCTTTATTTAAAAATAGTATCTAAGAATTTTCAGTATGCTTTCTCGCTTCTGACGTCACAATTTAACATGACTACGGCGAGAACCCAGGAGTCTTAAGGAGGTTCAGATGCTTCAAAAAAATGTAGCCAGCCTCACGTAATTTTAATATATTGTTTTGCAATGCAACATGGAATTATGTGAATTTTTTTGGAATTTTTCACTGTCTCGTTTTGAAAATAATCGGCTCAATAAATTGTATTTTTTAGCATAGATTTATATGGAAAATGACATAGGCGTACAACTTCAAAATGAAAAGAATGAAATAATGTAAGAAAAAATGCAAATAATAATGAGAAAATAATATGTACATAGTATAATTTAACAATTTACAAATAAATGAGTAAAAAAGTGATAGGTTACCGCACATTTCGCAGAGAAATTAATTATTAAAATTACTGATTTTTTGTTAGGTTAGAAATAAACGCAAACAAATGATGGTAACAGCGCAATTGAATATAGCAGAGATTGTATACACACACATATATATATATATATATATATATATGTATATATATTTATATATATGTATATATATGTATATACATATGTATATATATATATATATATATATATATATATATATATATATATATATATAAAATATTGAGGACGGACCTCAAAGTAACACAAGTTTCCAAAGTAGTCAGAATATATAAAATTTTGTCCTCAAAGTAACCGATCTGCTCATATATATGTATATATATGAGCAGATCGGTTACTTTGAGGACAAAATTTTATATATTCTGACTACTTTGGAAACTTGTGTTACTTTGAAGTCCGTTCTCAATATTTTATATACAAAAAGGTTCCTTCAAGGACTCCCGAAAGAAATGTATATACACAATGATTACTTTAGGAACCTAGTTAGAAAAAATTTTATATGATGTTAGTGTTCAATTTATTAAACTTTTGCAAGTAGATTATGCATCGAAAATAAAATTAAGATATACAGAGGGTGTATCAAAAGTAAGGTACCTCTGAATATCTCGTGAGAATGACGTTTTTAAAAAAAATTAAATACAAAAGTTTTAGGTTCGAACGTGCACATCTGATGATGCCTTTGAACTTGACCTTGTGATCAAATTAAAGTCAAATTAAGTTCAACTTGATGTTTTTTAATAAGACTATTTTTGATATCAGAAATAGAAAATGAAAAATTTCACGTTGAACCATGTGGTCATGATGACACGCTCAATGTTCAATCGTACTAACAATAAGTAAAGATTAAAATATTTAAGAGCATGTGATCAAATGTGAAAATTTGTATATTTTATTTTCATATAAATCTAAATTAGATTATCAATTTATAAAATAGTGGAAGAGAGCAAGACTGCATCAATGTTTAATTATATCAATTAGAGCAAATTAAGTAATTATTAATTATTTATCACTCATACTTTTTTCGTTTACAAATTTTTCTTTCCATATATACTGTTTTATTTTTACCAAGGTTAATTAAAACTGTCAAATTAAAGTTTGACAGAAGCAATAATAATAGTACGTGGAAAGCAATGCCAACTTCAAACGTTAGTTCACTGTTGCCAAATTTTCACCCCCCCCGATAAAGCACTTGAATCTTCTTAATCATATATGTCATATGTAATACTCCTATATTACTAGTCATATATGTTCCCAATAAGCGGCTCTTTTGAGCTTTTATTAGTAATAGAGGAGTACGACATGTATGCTTAAAATATTCGTAAATTGCGTATAATATTATTTACTCGATATTTTAGATGGACGATCAAAAGCAATTCGATCAACAAAGTGGCAACATGACGAAAAAGGTTGACATGTCTTGCACAAATTGCGGCACCATGACAACCACCATCTGGAGAAGAAATATGAAGGGCGAGATGGTGTGCAATGCTTGCGGGCTATATTACAAACTTCATGGTGTTAATCGTCCGGTCACTATGCGAAGAGATACCATACATACTCGTAGACGTAGACCCAAAGGCGAGAAACCAACGAGACATAGAAGTAAGATACTCAATCATTTATATATTTATATATTTTTAAATTTTATTTCAATCAAATAGCAATCTCGAGAGCTTTCCAAAACACTAAAATAAAGTATTTTTCTTTTTTAAGTATTTTTTTAGTTAAAGTTTGAAGTCAACAATTTTTTTATATAAAATGTAAAATATCTTGTAAAATATTCAGTTTTCGGTAATCCTTACTTTAATACTTTTATGTATGGAATAATGAGACCAATCAATTGGTGTAAAGAAAACACATAATTACTTTAACAAAAAGTACGCAGCTGCAGTGTTGCAAATTACATACTTTTTTAAAAAATAATTATTTGATCTCATTACTCTGTGCATAAAAGTATTAAGGTAAGATTATCGAGGACTGAATATTTTACAAGATATTTTACATTTTATGTAAAAAAATTATTAACTTTAAACTAAACTTTAACAATTCCAAAAGTACTTAAGAGAAAAATACTTTATTATAGCGTTTTGGAAAGCTCTCGAGATAAGCTACAAGAATATGCAATGAAAAATAGTAGGTCCCATTTAAAAAAAATTGAAGGTGACTTTTACGTAATCTTCAAATGATTATACAAGGTCAAACTAATAACAACATCTTATGCTCGAAGTCAAAAAACTTTTGTTTGAAATATTTTTTTGTATCTCAGTTTTCGAAATATTTGTCTAGGGCGATTAAAATGAGTCATCCTGTATAAGAATAGAGTTGGTAAAAGTCAGATGCAGATGATAGTGAGTCAGTTTCAAAGAAATTTTTTTTTTTTTTAATTAATCACTGTGCATAGATCACACATTTTTTGTGTGATACCAAGTAATTAATTAAAATCTCAATTCGGAATTTTGCATATTTTAGAGGGATGAATGCTTGCCTCTTCCTCATTATTTATGTTAGATAAATTTGTTTGGCATGACTGTATCTCCAGCTTATCTTTTTCTTCTTCGTTGAGTATATTTTCAAAATATGTTCTCTCTATCGGTTCATAATTTCTTCGTCTGCAATAGCATCTCCCCTGAGTTATCTCTTATATTGTGTAGTCTGAACTGAAAAATCTTCAGTTCAGTTCAGAGTTTTTATTTAACTTTCTCATACTTCTCTCGCACAACGTGTTTAATATGCCGTTTATTGATGTATTGTAATCTTTTACTAATTGCACTTCTCTTCTTGACTCTACATATATTCTTTGCCATTATTTTTTTTCTCATTGTATTCTTTTTGCACTCTCTTATTGTGTCACTGCAGCAATTTTCTTTTTGCCATATTTCTGGCATTCAGGGCATCAGCACACTCATGGTCAAACTAGTCCTAATTACGTTTAAAATATTTCTTCCCTTTTATTTAAGTAGCATTTGTTATTTAATATTATTCTATCCGCTTTTTACATTTTTGTTATTACGAGCTTTTGCTCGGCTATTTTGTTTTGAAATAATTTTTTCGCAACTCTTATCTAATTTTTTGATATTCCATTTTATTCTTCTACTTTCTTTGACTTTACTGAACTAGATATTTTTTGCCTTACCTTTATTTTAACAAGATAATGATCATTGTCGCAATTTTCGCCTCTATAAGTTTTCACATTAGATTTTCTCTTTTTGTTTAGTACTAGGACAATATCTATTTGGTTTTTTGCCTTTTCTCCAATAATTTCCAGGTGCCCTTATGAATGTTCTTATGTTGAAAATTTATACTTATACGTCTTAGTGAAAAATTTTCCGTTTACTAACATAATTTTAATCCATTAGGTGATGTTTTGTCATGTAATGAATACCATCCACCCATAAAATCACCCTTAATTCGGAGCCAGTGTTGAGTTCATGACAAATTAGTTTAGGGTGAGGTTGTCAAGGTCAGTTGTCAGTCTTAACTAGGCCACCAAGTATTTAAAATAGAATCAAATTAATAATGTTAGGCTTTTTATAGACGAGTAAAATAACGTTGTTTAAAATTTAAAATCAAAATTATTTATAGTTGTAACATAAGATGTTTCGAACATTACTTATGTCTTATCAATCATGAATAGTTTAACATAATTATGAAATCGTACATATAACAAATTATGTTAACTTTTAACTGAAATTATCCATATTAAAATATTAGGCAGTTCGGAAATTGCCGTCATTTTTTTACAATCTCTTGCATTGTTGCATAAGGCAATGCGAAAATTGGTACAAGTTACATAGGGGTTTTGTTACAAGTCAATCTGTATAATTTGATAACATATCATTAAGATAAAATATTTTTTATATAAAGAAAATGTAGTAACTTCTAAAATCAAATAACGCACATCGCAATTTATATGTCGAAAAATTAGTGGTATGTTGTCGGTAATAAGTACGGATCTATACTGTGAAGAAGCAATCACCCAGATCACCTTGATGCCCCAATAAACAATATATTTAAAGAAACAATCATTATAATTTGTTTACAGCATCGATAAGAGCAAAATAACATATCTAATAAATCTGTGTCCTCCCTATATAATTTAAACCGTTCTCTTGTTTAATGGAAATCATTTCAGATATCAGTCTTTTAAGGATGTATTGGAGATATATTACAATCAATGAAATCGCCGTGAATTTTTAAATAAATATTCTTAATAACGTCCTAAATCGTCATGAATTATTTTATTTGCTCGTTTAAAAGTTATTAATTTTTGAATTTTGCGATTTTAACATAGGATCTTATGTAAACGTTCAAAAGATAGGTAATAAATTATTTATAAATTATGAAAAAACAATGATAAAAATTTGATTTTATAATATTATATTCTTTATATATCTAAACATTCCCACAAAGTTTTAAAACGATTTACTTGCTCGTTTTGAGATTATTATTAAAAAATAACTGATTGGTTTGACACAATATCGATGATAAAACGTAGCAACACTGCATAACCTTACGTGTCAAACGATGCACACGAAGTTTGACATACTTTGAAATTTGAAACTCCGGACATTTGAACATTTTTTAAATGGTAAAGTAATGTTGAAAAAAATTAAAAAACATCAAATTTATACATACTGGATAACACAAGCGCGCGCTAAACAAATTTTTACTTCGCGAGTGTACATAATTTTAATTCGCCGAATTTCAATTCACATTTCATGTACATAACTCTAATTCCCGAATTTCTATTATACATGTACATAATTTTAATTTGCTGAATTTCTATTATGAACATAATTTTAATTTGCCGTATTTCTTTTATATAAATAATTTGAATTTTTGATTTTCCATTATGTTCATAATTTTAATTCTTGAATTCCTATTATACACATAATTTTAATTCATCGTATTTCTATTATGTAAATAACTGAAATTGTACCTAATAGAATTTTTTTCATTTATGGTTAGAATTTTCCTTTACACAGCTTTATAAACAAAAGATAAACAAAAAAACAGAATAACATTTTTGTTCTGCACATTTATGCTATTAATATAAAAATATTAGACAAGGGAAATATTTAGTCTTTAAAAACTAATCCTAAAATAAAACAATTGATTGATATAATACATAAAATTAGGTATCTAATCATCATATAAATTGTAAAGTTCTGCAAATATTTTACCCGACAAGCAAGCTTTTGCATCGCCAGATTCAGAATACAAACTATCGTTATTTGATTGTGAAGAACTAAAACGTTTAATATTAGGTGTTAGCAAACAGCTCATACGTGATTTTAAAGCCAGGTATTCCCTCAAAGGTTTCTCTACTTTCTTGTCAGTGCACTTATTCAACACAAGAGTATATTTCTTAACTGATATAACTTTTGTGCTAGACTTTATATTAGTGATATCCAACTTATTTTTTAAATTCACGAAGCTATCATTTTCCTTATTACTCTCGAAAGAAAAATCGATTTGACATACCTAATGACTGAATTCCAGAATTGTACTTTCCATCTCTTTCTACAAGTTTCGTTAAATTAGTATCAAGCGTTTTATAAACTTCTTTCGGAATATACCTGTCTTCAGTATTAATATTATTGCTAATCGTACATAGCGATTTTGTGATTGTATTATTCATTATTTCTATATTATTATTTAAATTTTCAATCATCTCTTTCAAAATCTTGTTGTCAGTATTACTGTTATCGATTTCCTTTGTTGTTATACATATTTAACATAGATAATACATATGTAATATTAATAAATATTGATTTAAAATTTGGTATTATATCTTATAATGGAAATATGTACATAATCTAAATTAACTGTATTTCTATATATACATAATTTTAATTCATTTTAATTCATTCCGAATTTCTATTTCCCTTTCTAACTGAGAAACTTTTATTCATGTAAGTTTTCATATATTTTACACTTTTTTATTCATGTAAGTTTTCATATATTTTACATTATTAAGATTTTTCTATAAGGAAAAATATAAAAAAATTATAAGATTTTATTATATGAAATTATAAAATTAAGCAAAAAATGTATTGAAATAAAATATTTGAATATTTTTCGATTATTGTAAAAATAAATTAATTCTACTTATATACGATTAATTTGAAATAGTTGAAACATTTTTTAAAAAATATTAATTTATTATAAAGTATCATTCAAAAAATATCTTAAAATTTGAATCTTTTTTTGATTATCGTTAAAAATTTATCGATAAATTTATTGTGTAAAAATATAAATAAGAAATCATGTAATATGAAAAAAATTAATAAAAAAAAGTACAATCGTCTGTTCAAAAATTGTGTTGTTTCAAAAAACTAATATAAATAATCTTGGAACTGTTTAGAACCAGTGATAGTGTAAAAATTAGAGCTAATTGAATCATGGAAAAATGTTTACAATTGTACTTGAATTTTTTCTGCGTGTTCTAATGCAAGTGATCTTTCCAAGTTGCCGCTTTGTTGCAACTTTTTTTTGTCATTTCTGCGCCTTCTCCAATTTCTTTTTTATATCTTTTGAATGTCTTAAAATCAAATACTGGCAAATCAATGCATGCACATAGCTTACAGAGTCCGAACCATCCCATACCACTGTGAGTGAATAACACCTGAATAATAAATACCAATTTAGTTCTAACGTTAATTTCATCTGATAAACCATGCTAAAACAAATTGAAAAACTTACCTAAAGCCATTTTTGAATTAATATTAAATCGTGCTCTTCTTTCATCTTTAGTATTGTATTGTCTGTCCGTACACACAATATTTAGTAAGAGACATTTGTTGCATTGCACAGTCAATTTCGAGCCAAATCCTTCTCGTATTTCTTTCAATAAAATCCAGAGAAAGACATTCTTTACGAGAACAACATCAAAGGCCTTTGGCAAGAGTTGAAATATTAATAATACGTCTTCCACACATTAACGAGATTTTCACATTGAGTCTCATCATTAACATCAGTCGTTTTTGACTGACAATGAGACTTTTTTGGACGTTTGCAATTTGATCTTGTATTTTCCTTTGATAAAATACTTTTTCACTAACTTTTTTTCCTTTCCGACGATATTTTTCATCTTTATATTCCGACATAATAAAAAATAGTAATTATCAAGAGACACGGTAGTGTCTCACGACAAGTCACAAAATCGTAGCGAGGTACTTTCGTATATCTTTACGCGAGTCGAACTTTTGACAGCATCTTATATTATCAGATCTCATAGAAGGATTGAACTGATCGTATTCTCGATAGACTTAATCGATAGCTTGGGTTTAAATTGTATTAGAAAATTGTCTTTTTACTTTTGCTCTACGTATTATATATATACAGAGATATTACGATGTAAAGTTTGACTTTATAATAAAATTGAAAATTTTGGTCATCGTCGTCGACCTTCTCAATGCGCATGTGTGCGAAAATGTACTGTTCGAGCTGTCAACGCTAGATTGTAGTAATGTCGCTCCATGATTCATGATATTAGGTTGTGTGTCAGGTTTGATGACATGTAACATGTATGTAGGTTATATTATTCCCTACAATATCATGTTACATATTAAGTACATATTAGTTGTAATTAAACGACCAAAAGCAAATATAAATTTGGCTGATAAATTCAGAAAAGAATACTATTTGTAGAGGGAGAGGAAAGAGAGAGGGAGAGAGAGAGAGAGAAAGAGAGAAAGAGGTCTAATGTGTATATTATTGATATATACTAATGTGTATATTGATATATAATTACATTTATTATAATATAATTTCTTTTATAATATAATTACTTATTTATTATAATATAATTACATTTATTTATATAGCTGCTATATAACATAACTGCTATGTAACTAACGTAAATGTTACATATTAAGTATTAGCTGTAATTTCCCACTCGTAAAAGTAATATTTTGTAATATAACATATGTTACATTGTAGTTATATTATAATAATTATATTCCAGATAACACAATAACTTATCCAAAGATTATTTTCAATATCCTATAATATCTATCGATGAGTTACAGTGATATCTGGGATGTAAGAACAATACAACTACAATGTAACATATGTTATAATACAAAAGTTACACGTATAAGTGAGAAATTACAATTAATGTGTACTTTACATGTAACATTCGTGTTATTTATATTAATAAATATATACATTAAAAACAATTTCAATTTTTTAAATATTTATTTTCGTATTTGGTTTAATAAAAACAATTCACAAAATAAATAGTAAAAATTATCGATATGCACATTAGACCTCCCTCTCCCCCTCTCCATCTCCCCTTCCCTTTTCCCCTCCTCCCTCCCTCCCTCCTTTCTCCCTCTTTCCCCCTCTCTCTCCCCTCTCCCTTTTTCTCCCTTTTTTCCTCTCTCTCCCTCTCCCCCCTCCTTTTCCTTTCATCCCTCCCTCTCCCTCTCCCTTTCCGTCTCTCTCTTCCTCTCTTCTTTCTCTCCCTCTCTTTCCCTCTCCCCCTTTTTTTTCTCCCTCTTTTCCCCCCTCTATCCCTCCCTCTCTTCTTTCCTCTTTCTCTCTCTATCCCTTTTTTCTTTCTTTCTTTCCTCTCTTTCCTTCCCTCCTCCTTTTCTCTCCCTTTCTCCTTTCTCTCTTTCTCCCTCTCCCTCCCTTTCCCCCAAAGGCCTCTCTATTCCCCTTCTATTTCCCCTCTCTCTCTCTCCTCTCTCTCTCTCCTCTCTTTTTCTCTCTCTTTTTTCTCCCCCCTCCCCCCTCTCTCTCTGTCTCTCTCTCTCTCTCTCTCTATCTATTATATCTATCTATCTATCTATCTATCTATCTATCTATCTATCTATCTATCTATCTATCTATCTATCTATCTATCTATCTATCTACAACTTGTGTTACTGCAGGATATAAATGTATGTATGATAGAGAGGAAGGGGAGAGATAAATATATACAAAAAAGAATGATATCCATAAAAAAACTTATCTTTTTTAAAAAAAGGTAAAAAAAGGCGACAAGTTTACGTGCTCACGTGAAAAAATGTTATACAAAAAAACAGTGTTTTTCTAAAAAATAATGTCATTTTAATTTTATACAATATATTTTTATTGTACAAAATGATTAAATATTTCTAAAAAAAATGATATCAAAAATTGCGACAAATAAAAACATTTATACTATAAAATCTTTTATTATGATTATTTTATTAAATAATTTTTTTCATAGAAATATTTTACAAACAATAATTAATTAAACATATGACTCATATATTGTAACACAGCAAATTATATAAAAGATCAAATGTGACGAACGATTTATGATTGACAATATCTTATTTGGATTAAAGAGTATGATAGAAAATATATATCTCATTTGATATTATTGTCAACCATATAATTACTCGTTACATTTGGTCTTTAGAAATATTTTAACCAAAAAAAATAGAAAAATTTTTGTTAAAAAACTTGGCGCTGGAATATTAATAGAACAATTAACTGGAACATAATGTATATACAAAGTACCTTAACATTATTGACATATTATGCAATTTAGCAGCGCCAAGTTTTTTTAACAAAATTTTTCTATTTTTTTTGGTTAAAATATTTCTAAAGACCAAATGTAACGAGTGATTATATGGTTGACAATAATATCAAATGAGATATATATTTTCTATCATACTCTTTAATCCAAATAAGATATTACTGTCAATCATAAATCGTTCGTCACATTTGATCTTTTTATATAATTTGCTGCGTTACAATATGAGTCATATGTTTAATTAATTGTTGTTTGTAAAATATTTCTATGAAAAAAATTATTTAATAAAATAATAATAAAAGATTTTATAGTATAAATGTTTTTATTTGTCGCAATTTTTGATATCATTTTTTTTTAGAAATATTTAATCATTTTGTACAATAAAAATATATTGTATAAAATTAAAATGACATTATTTTTTAGAGCAGTTTTTTATAGTAATTTAAAAACACTGTTTTTTGTGTATAACACTTTTTCACATGAGCACGTAAACTTGTCGCCTTTTTTTACCTTTTTTTAAAAATTTTTTTTACACGAATTGACGTATCTGAGAGGTGACACCTGACTTCCGACAGTTCTGACACGGAAAGAATTGCTGTCAATTTCAATAAATGAAAAATTTTTGCGGCGTTGTCACATTTTACATACATCGTATTTTAATTAATTATTTTAATGTTTTCATCATTAATAAAAATATTTCACTACACTCTATGCTATAAAAATGAATTTTATTAATTAAAAAAATTGAAAACGTTTTATTTGCTATTATAATAAATTGATATTCCATAATTTTATTTTTCTTAGGTTAAATTTAAGATACAATAATTTCCAAAACTTTTAAGATGAAAAATGTTTCTTTGGGAAATATACATTTACAAATTTGTACATTTTCTTGGACACTAAGACCTATTTATATTAAAGAAAACTTTGAAGTATGATTTCGTAATTTTTAAAAATTTTTGTTTAATTAGAATTTGTATTCTGTCCAACTTTAATTTTTGACATTTTGAATTAACTTTTGAGACAGACGGTTCGTCTAATACATTCTTAAAATAATTGCTTTCATAATCAAGAATTTTTGTATCCCATTTTATTGGATAATTGCAATCCATAATGTCTTCTTCTTTTTAATTATTGCTTTGTTTGACCAACATAAGTGGCATTGCAATCTTTACAAAATATTTTATAAACAATGTTGTTATTTGATGTGGGATGTGTTATGTTTTTATGAAGTTTAATAAATCTGTTTGATCTAAGCACATTTTTAATATGTGATGATAGCTTCTTCACATACGGTAAACCAATATATTTTTTTAATTGTTTATTTTGTGTGATCTCGAATACCTCACTTTTACGAACATTTATACTGCAATGTTTTTTTAATTCTGCGTTGGCAACATTTAAATATAAGATGCAATGGATATCCGTTATCAATCAAAATATTAATACATAAATTAATGTTTTTTGCATGAAACAGGATCCGATAAAATAATTGCTCTATCAATTAATCCGTATATAATACCTATTTTGCGGCACATTGGATGATTTAAATAGTGACAGACATCTTCCTGAAAATGTATTCTTATGGAACCAATCTATGTGTAAAAAATTGATGTTAATATTTAATTTCAAATCTAAAAAGCTAAGTACTTCTTCGTTCTCTATTTCTATTGTGAATTAACTCTTTCATGATAAGAACTAAAAATAATAATTTAATCTGTGTCCTGTCTGGTTATGTCCTGGCTAAAATAATGTCATCGACATATCTATAATAAAATATCTTTTTAAGTATTTAAATCCCCTAAGGTCAAAATGACCCAGATATTTTTCCGAGTGCTAAAGGCTACAGCCTCTTTTGCGGGACCACTAGGCGAGGCTGGCATTTGATTAAAGATTATATGTTACACATAACACGCCCTTTGACCCTCAGAATGAAAATTCACAAGGATTATTAAACTTGTCACAGAAAAAGGGGACGCGGTCTCAGCATCTCAATCAGCAACGGAACAAATGGATGCCGAGAGTGCGGACATGTTGGCGGCTCTTCGACGACAAATTCAGCCTCATCTGATGATGGCAGCAGCATTGACGCCTGCACGTATACCTAGTGGCCATCCGCCTCCACCTGCTGCTTACTCAATACCTTTGCCTAGTTTCATGATTCACGTAAGCTATCCTTTGTCTTATACTCGAATAGATAAAAAAAATTTTTTTTGTATTTATGCATTTTTTGTATAATAATTATGCATTTTTGTATAATAATTATGCATTTTTTGTATAATAATTATACATAAATATGATTAGGAAACTATATATATATAGGAAACCCAATAATTTTGGCAACATGTCAGAGTTCCCTAATATGCATATTAATCTTTTGTATTTATTTATTTTGTATTTTGTATTTATGATTTTTTTTAATTTTTTGTTATAAAGTACTAATTAAAATACGATTTTACTTTAAAATTGTAGCAACATGCGAAAGCCGAGGAACGTGTACAGCGACATCTCTCGTTGGATACCGAAGAAACGGATGAGGGCGATGAGGAGAACGTTTCTGATGTTCCTTTGAATTTGGTAGCGACTTCACTTTCAGAGGAGACGCACTAAGAAACAAATCGTTGGGTTTTTCGTCTAGGTATGCTACTAATAACACGAAAATTTTTCTACACGACGTAGCCGTTGTCTCTCTATGACGTTCACCTTTAAATGAACGTTTATGTCTTGACAAACTTTTCCCAGTACTTTTCCCCAAAAAAGAAGAAAAATTACTTATATCTGGGACTGTGACAAAACGTTCCGCGAAAGAGTCATCAGACTCACTGCCGCGATATGGCGTGCATAATGGAACGAGATGATATTAATTACGCAGTATTAATTCAAGATGTACATACACACAACACATTTATACATACATACATATATAAACACACACATGCACAGAGAGAGAGAGAGAGAGAGAGAGAGAGGAGAGAGAGAGAGAGAGAGAGAGAGAGAGAGAGAGAGAGAGAGAGAGAGAGAGAGAGAGAGAGAGAGAGAGAGAAAGAGAGAGACACACAAGTATACTCCGTTCAACGAGAGAATTTTAAAGAACATTGGTCTGCTCATAGATGAGTAAAATAGAGAGAGATACAGTCTTTTTTTTTATTAAACAATAGACAAGCTTTGAGGCCATACAGCTTCGGGAACGTGGTGTCACCTATTGCAGGCATTGATATGTTAAATAAGCAGTAAAGGGCATGAAAATCGGCCTGAAACGGATTTTCGATGCACATTTTTTTGTCGAACGGAGTATATATGTGCATAAGTACACAAAGCACAGATAAGCACATGTAAGAACACACATACATACAAGAAAATATTTTATACAAAATTTTATACGCTCATAAACTCGTTGTATATATATAATATACGTGCCGCGAATTCAACCGTGCCGCTCGGAAGTGTTCATCGTCGTCGTCTTGTTTCATATTTTTGTACATGAGTATTATACTTTTTGCTGCGATTAGTGGTCTTACGCAGCAATGCCAATGCTGATAATTTCTCTTATGGCGTACCTGCAACTATCGTTATGGCATTCAGTCATGTTACTCTAAAAATTAAGAAAAAAATTCTTTTAAACTCTCTTATACGCTGTGCGATCAGCGTTGAATTTTTAAAATTTTATCTCAGGATTAATGAATCTATATATATTATTTATTTATAAATTATTTACATGGTATGTGTATATTAATATATACACGCGTACTTCAAATTTTACAAGTATATGCGTGTGTATATATACACGTACACGCGTATATATATATATATATATATATATATATATATATATATATATATACGTATACAAAATTTTCGCGTAATAAATTTAACAAACACATAATTTTTCATATCTCAAAACTATTGTTTGTCTTCTTTTTTTATTGCAACTATCTAATTGACATTAAAAGCCAGGAATCGTGCTTTTTTTGTACTAGATGTCGAAATTAGTATTTTGATATGTCATCATCTGTATTCACAAAAAGAAGAGAGATAAGTAAAATTTTGAAATTATTTTTTATTATCTGTATGTTAATTTTTCGTAATAGATATAATTAAATATAATACGTGGTTTACATTTTTTTATGTAAAAATATATCTGATGTTCTAAATATATATTTATGTAACTTTATTTTACAAAAATTTTGAACAAAATTTTTTATATATTGTATATTGATATATTGATTTATAAATCTATATTATTGAACGCGAATGATGACATATGGAAAAAATTAATTGACTTGGATATAAAGTGTGAAAAATTAGCATACTTTTCTGCTTTTAATATGATAATTTTTCAGTTGCAATTAAAAAACAGAATTATTGAAGAAATATTTATATTTTCATTGACACATGCAATTTTCTTAATCATTTTAATAACAGTTAAACACAATTATAATTTCATGGACAAATTAAGATAGAGATTATTGCAATTAATACACTTTTATTAATGAATCATCCTATATATAGCCTGTATTGGATGTATAAAAAGTCCCGAGACACTTTTATTAATGAATCATCCTATATATAGCCTGTATTGGATATATAAAAAGTCCCGGTGAAACATCTTGAAAAATATAAGTGTATAAAAACTGTTTCAGACAAAAGTTATAGAATTTAATAAAATATATCTTTACCATTTTAGTAAGATTTGGGCTATTAGTTTGACTTTGGGTGGCCAAAAACAAGGTTACCTTGAATATTTAATGGAACCATTCTATTTTTTTTATATACATCGATTCTTTGCAATATTTGATATAAAAAGTTATAAGGGTAGGATAAAAAGTGAGTTTACGAGATATGTATTTTGTACTTTAATGTGACATAATCTTACGTAAATTGAGATATCTTGTAAATTATTTATCACTTTGTGATGATCTTATGATCATTAAAAAATAAATGTTTCACAAAATCTCTCATATAGTTTATGTAAGATTGTCATATTAATGTACAAAATATCTCGTAAACTATTCATTTTTTACCCATCTTACCTTTATATTTTTTATATATACCTATATATACACAGATATACATATACACAAGATGTGGCTATAAAGTTACCCGGTCTAAAGCTGTATAAAAACCAAACAATGACAAAATTATTGTATGTTATTTATTTTGAAACAATACAATATTTGGAGGGTGTCAAATCAGGAAAATATGGCAGATCATTCGTTTGTTAAATAATTATTTGTAAAAGTTGTTATTTTCCTCGAACACCTCGATTGCTCGTTGTCTTCCACATCTTTGTAACTATCTCTAAATCTTCCAATTAAAAAATTATATATTAGCGATAGGCAATCTTTTACCTGATCACCCTGATCTCTCTTTCAATATTTCATATGTTTATGTTAAATTTTTCCCAAGTTTTACACTTGATATTCACTCTTTATTTCATTATGTTTTCTCTGCGACATTCAATTTTTACTGATTTTATTGTCATATTTGTATGACGTACACTGTATACATCCAATGCACGATGTAAGAGAATAAGGTGATAGCACGGTTTATTTAATATATAAAAATTTGACGCATTTAACGAGGTACTTCTGCAGAAATCGCGTCAGTAGTGCTAGTTTTGTGTAGGCCAGACATGAAATATTTGTATGAGCATGTACAATACACAAATAAGCATTGTAACTTTTGTAAATGCTTCAGTTTTAACCTCTCTTTACTGTTGTCCTACACAAATAAACATCTACATTCTTCTAGCGCCTCTTGCGGAAAAAGTTAGAAGTTCCTCAATAAATGTGTTACCTTAGACTTAGGATTGTGGCATCATCTTATTATCTCTTACACTGTCCAATAATAATAAAATTTCCCCCCAAAATAAAAAGTTTTGTCTGGTTTACTTTTTAGCTACATCTTATATTTAAATAAGGAGGAAAATATTTCTTGATCAGAAAAAACCAAAATATATGTTTAGAATAAAATTATAAAGGAAGAAAATATTTTACGATTCATTGATAAAAGTGTAATAATTGTAATAGAACTTATATTGATTAGGAAAATCGAAGTAAAATTAAATTTTTAATTGTTCATTACACGCGCATTTTTTATGTTTTATTTTCTACATTTTCATTAAAATTTTCATTAAAAAAAATTGTAGTAGACTGATTTTAGATGATAAAATCTAAATTTTGAACATTATTAACAAAATTTATTAATTATTGAATTTTATTCTAATTACATATAAACCGAAATATGTTATATAAATTGTAATTGATCACACTGTAACTTTTTTGATATGAATTTTCACATAGTGATGTTTGCAGCGAAAGCTTCCTGTATTTCATAACGCAACAGGTTCGTCTAATGACGAAAAAATAAGCTATTGACAATAAAAAGATTGGCGCAGAGGACACTTCGGGGCTTGAATAACAAAGAAAAAAAAGGAAAAAAAGAAAAAAAAACTCGTATTGAAAACCTTACACAAAGACGTGCCTCCTCTTATTTCCGTTGTTGAAAGCACGCACTTGAAGAAGCCTTAAATTTAGAGACCTGTAGATGCAATCGAATTACGACTGCTAGGACTGTGTAGAGAGAGAGAGAGAGAGAGAGAGAGAGAGAGAGAGGGATGAAATTAATGTCTAAAAAAAATTTCCTCCACCTTCTCTCGAGAAAGCCGTTGTACTTAATGCCGGACTGTACTCTCGCACGTAATTATCTTAAAATAAGATTCCAGAAGCAATAGGAAACATGGCGTAGCATCTATACAAAGGTGATTCTGAATAAGTGCGAAAAATTTTATGATTAGATGATTTTTTTGTCGAAAATTAAGGGGAGATCTTTCATATAACATATTTTTATGCCTCTCTGAGGAGAAGTTACAATCTTTCAAAATCTTTCTTTTAATAAAGAAATTCTAATGTCCTATTTTACCGACAAAATCATTTTTGTGCACGCTTTTCTTTTTATTGATTGAATAGAATAATAAATGCTCTTTCACGAATAAAGTATATAGTAGAAACAAAGCAAGGCTCTTTATGTTAAAATATCAACTTTATGTTAAAAACAAATTTAAAAAATTAAAAAATTTGTTTAAAAATTAAAAATTTTTTGTTTTTAACATAAAATCGGTAGGTCTTTGCTTTGTTTCTATATGTAATTTAATCGCGTGGAATAGCATTTATTATTCTATTCAACTAATAAAAAGAAAAGCGTGCACAAAATGATTGTCTTATCGGCAAAATAGGACGGCTTCAGGATCACTTTAATTTTCAACAAAGAATCGTCTTTTAAAATTTTTTTATATTTATTTAGATTAATTCTATATAGATGTTGCTGTTATTGATTATTAGAACGGATACTCAGTTTGCACGCTCTCTCTTCTTCCTTTTATTTATTTTGATGACAAACAAGAAACTGAATAAGAAAAAACTTAAGAAAGTAATACTTGTATAACATTTACTTAGTTGCCGAATAATGTTAAAAGTAACGAATTTATATGATATATATATATATATATATATATATATATATATATATATATATATATATATATTTATGACTCCACTGCTGCTGCGTAGTCAGTTTAGAATCAGAATGGAAAGGCTTTTCGCTCTAATACAGTAATAGAAACTGTAAGATTTTACATCTACCTCCTGTATACACATTTACAAATTTCTCATTTATAATAAATATAAATTTATTTTTCAATATTGATAAATAATAAATATATAAATGGAATAAAATTCAATTTAGTTTTTAATTATCAAAATAATGTGAGATAAAATTAATTGCACGATATATGTATAGAGGCTATGGTTTAAATAATTAAAAAAAATATTGTAGATATACTCCATATTTAA